GAGGCAAACCGCGGCATACAAACGACCATACAAGTATCTATACATATATAGTGGGTACTCACTGTTCACCGGGGCCCCATCGATTGCCAGGGCAAAAGCACGTCCATAGCAGCCACCAACGTACAAAAGAGGGATAAAAATGCCCATCCCAATGGAGCTGCCAAAAAAGAGCAGTAAAAGGACGAGGAACACAGACCCAGCAATGAGACACGAGGATGCCGAAAAGGCAGTCGATGGCTCCCAAAACAGCAGGTTAATCCCGGTTCCTCCGACTGGGTTCCAAAAAAGTGTGGCCAGCTCATTGTATTGGCCGTCTGGACACAGGGCTTGATGGTAATACTCTGGTTTGGCAGCAATGTTCGATTTATTCTCAGTTTCGAAAGGGCTGCAAACTTTGTAAATTTGTGGCAACCACCAAAAGATACAAGATGCAATCGCTACCAGGGAGAGAACCTCGATGCACTTGGCAACTCTGCCAAGTTTCCACTTGGTACGTTGAATGGCCAGGGCTCGATTCAGTTCACACCACACTGCACCCACAGCTCCACCGGCAATTCCCATGCCCGCAAAGATAAAGTAATCGAGCAAACGAAAACTGATCCAAATGCTGGAAGCCGAGGACATTCCATTCTCCATGGGAAGACCTTGGAATTTGGAAGTCACATAGTCCGCCATGAAATCTCCAATGGCTCTATTGGCAATTATGTTCCACATGTAGGAAAACGTGGCTGTCACACAGGCGGCAGTGAATGTGTGCCATGTCAGATCGAGGCTCCAATAGGAACATGCCTCTTCCAGTGCAAACAGGACGGCACCAATAGGAGTTCCAAAGGCACTGGTGACACCGCATGCCGTTCCAATCGCCTGCAAGTCCTTTCGATATCGTTCCACCTTGCAAACTTCGGAGGCTGGCGCAAACCGGTGGCTTTGGATGGGCAGGTATTTGTCGGCATTGTCTCCAAGTGCGAGCCCAATAAAAATCAATGGTCCTTCCATTCCTATGGGAAGGGATGCGGCTTGTGCAAAGATGACACTGAAACCTTTGCACGCTGCTGTGGACAAGTCCGTGCATCCAGGTAAGATAATTCCATTCAAAACTGCCTTGGCTTCGGCAATGCCACTGCCAGCACTCAAAGGTCGAAACAAAACCGGTAGCGCTGCCAGGAAGCCAAACAAGATATTCATGCCAATAAAGAACCCAAAGGATGAATACTTATTGTTGTTTTCCTCCAGCAATTCGGTGGATTGGTCGAGTTTCCATTCCAGTAACTTTTCGGAGGATCGAAGGATACCAAAGCCCACCACCGACATGAGAATGCCAATGGCAGCAATCATGACTCTCATCATGAGCCTCGCATCCCGCACTGCCGAGATGTAGGCGCCCTTGCCACACGCCAAAAATCGTCGTAACCGACTCGGTTTGGCCCGCGTTTTAAGTGTAAAGTGATGCCACACCGGAGACTCGTGGCTCTTGTAGCTCCGAGAGGCATACTTGTTGGTATTGCATGTAGTGTTGTTGCCTTCAAGAACAGTCTGATGATGACGGCGCAGTCGACTCACTTGTCCCCGCAATTTCTGATCCACCCCCATAAATGAGTCCACAATGGCATTATTGTTGTTGTTATCATCATCCCTGTCACCTGAGGCGTCGACTTCCCAAGTGTCGTCGCCCTGTGCCAACCAATTTGTGAATCGCTCTGGTCCAGGTGTGGGCATCGGAAGAAAGCAGTCTTTTTCGAATGTGTCTTTCTTTTCTTCTTCTTGAGATGCAGCATCTGTAGGCGTAGCTAGTGTGGACACAACATGGGATTCTGTGGTTGTTACTTCATTATTTGGTGCATGCATGGGTGTTGCGTTCACATCCTCCGTGACTCCTTCCTCCAGTGCTTGTTGTTGGTCATGGCTTATTTCCATTGTAGCTTTTGGATTCAATTTAAGCATCTATGTTCTTTTGTGGATGCTCGATAGCAATAAGAGATGTGGGAAAAACAAAGAGATGTTGCTGCCCCGGCGGGCACATGGGACCACACGCATGAATGAGAATTCAGTTTTGGCTTGGCAGAAGTCAGGTGCACATGACGTACCATACTAGCTAGTACGTCAGCGACTCCCTTCAAATAATCGTTCTGATCCGATTCTGGTTCGATTGGTCAAACCACCAAGTGGCACAGCTGGCACCTGGTTTTAAGAACGCAGCCTCTTGGAAAAGCCCACTAAGAGGTACTGGTACCGGTACCAAATCGCCACATGAGCCATAAAAAAAACGCTGCCAAAGACCTCACTTTGTGTGTCTATACCCACCCGTCATTATATCAAAGCCGACCAGAAATGAATGTCCTTCTAAAAGACACCGAAAAGGGCATCAAGGCTCAACTCCGTCCAGTCGCCGAGGCAAGCAAAATCAAGTTCGAAACCAATGAGTTGCCGTCCGACGACGATGTACAAACCCGAAACGACCAAGAGGCCAAGGAATACTTTTTCAACGGAGGAATGGACGCGTAGATTGAAACGTGTCCACCAAAAACCACACTAGAAACTTATATTGTTCCCCTGAGTCGAGTCGCATCGAAGCCGCCGCCATTGTGCGTTCCGTGCGGGACGGCGTGGACCATCGCGACCTTCAGAACGTCCGAGACAGACTCGAAGAATGCATCGTTCGGCATGGGTTGCGCGACTCGGGTTGCTTTGTCAAGTTGACCACTCGCTCACCCAAAGACGTCGTGGTGGCCAAGGAGATTGCCAAGCAGGCGTTTCGAGCCCGTCGAGAGCACGGCGAGTTTGGGCACTTGGCATTTGAGGATATTCCCGATCACTCGAGCCGATGGGCAGCCTTTGGTGAGGAAATGAGACAAGCCTTGAAGGTCCGGAGTGGTGAGCAAGCGTTTTGATTGTTACTGTCTTTGGGACGAGTCGAGTCTACAAAGACTGCCAATATGCCCTTGAAGACAACCACGCCGGCAACTGGAAATTGGGCCTGGTGGTGCGTCGATGGGATGACCGCTGTCAACCGCACCGCGAGTTCCGGGCATTTGCGTGGAATGGGAAGCTGACGTGCGTCGGACAATACTTTAGTCTTTTGCGCTTTGAATCCCTCCAGGGTGCGCCATGTGTTGGAGAAAGTAGAACGCGATGCACGAGCCATCTTTCGCCAAGTCAAGGATCTCGTTCCTTTGCCCGGCAAAAAATGGATCTGGTAATTTGCGACAAGCCGTACTTGGTGGACATCAATCCCTTTGATGGAGTTGGTCTCGGCACCATGAAAGCCTCCACGGGGCTGTTTGATTGGGATCGCGACCGTGATATCATGACAGGACGGCAACCGTTCCAAATCCGTGTGCAACGCCTATATACCCCTTACAGCGGATGATCTGAAACGAAAGCGTTTGACCATGAGCAAGGACTGGTGGGGTGCCATTTACAACTGAAAAGATTTGCGAGGACGTGGCTTCTAGCCAGTGCAAAGCAGAGCAAATGCTTTTGGATTGTATACCGAGCGACGAGCATCCGACCGAACCAGCAAGGACAATGCCATTTATTGGCATCCAACATCTACGGCTTTCTTCGGCGTAATAAGCTAGCAAACCAAGCAGTAAAACAGAATACTAGCACTGTTGAACTATATGCAAACATGCAGTACTTTCATGAACAACACAACCATCCAGCCACAGCACCAGCCATTCGGTTCAGGCCTCCGATTGGTTCCACCCAGTTTGGTTCGCTTCAGCTCGGTTAGCCTCGCTCAGCAGCTGATCCTCTTCATTGGCTGTCTCTCCCTCCAGTATCAGTGATGTTTTAAAGTCAGAACAGTTACACCAGTCACACCCACAGAGCAGGTTGCTGCGGTCGAAAGTAAGGTTGAAGGTGGAACACAAGCTCTCTGGGATAATGCCAGAAAGATCATTTTCGTGCAAATAGACTTGGCCAAAAGATGCAGAGAAAGGAACATTGCCTGGCTCAAGGGGCACCGTCCCAGTGTGCATCCAATCCAGAGAGCAAGGACAATGCCATTACTGCTGTCGCATCCAATGTCTATACAACTTTTCTTTGGCCTACGATGCTACGGTAGGTTCCGGTACCTAAACTGAGAAGTAACACAAATAAATACTTTCAAACGTAGGTAAAACTTATATGCAAGCATGTAGTAGTTGATCAACACACGCACACACAACCATCCAGTCATTCGGTTCAGGCTTCCGTTTGGTTCCCCTCAGTTTGGTTTGCCTCACTCAATGGCAGAAACTGACCATCACCCCACAGCAGCAGCTGGCCAACTCCATAGACAATTCTTTCTCCCGCCTCGAGTAGCGGTACGGATCTATTGTCAGAACAGTCACACAAGTCACATCCACAGAGCTGGCTGCTGCAGTCAAAATAAAGACTTTGGGCAGAACACAACCTCTCTGGGATAATGCCAGAAAGATCATTTCCATGCAACCAGACTTGACCATAAGGTGGAGGGAAAGGAACATTGCCAAGTTCCAGGGGCACTGTTCCAGTCAAATCGTTGTCAAACAGCCACAACTGAAACAATGCAGTAAGCTGTCCAAACTCTGTAGGAATGGTTCCTGTCAGATTATTGAGTTCCAAGTCCAACACAATCGCTTGATCATACATTCCAAATTCACTTGGGATTGTGCCCGACAAAGCATTCATACCAAGCCACAAGACAGATAACTTTGTTAGAAGACCAAGCTCTGTTGGGATCTAGAGGAAAAGGAAGAAAAAAGGGACTCAATGTTAGAAGAAGCACGTTTGACACAACTGGAACACAAAATGACTTACAGTCCCACTGAAGGAGTTCGCCTCCAGTGTCAATGTGTCCAGGGATGCCATGTTTGCAAGCCATCTCGGGATTGTCCCTGTAAGACCCGAGTCTTCCAGTTGTAGAACTGCCATGTCTGTAAGAACTGCGAGCTCGGTTGGGATCTACATGAATCACAGAGAATGCTGAGTAAAGCTAGAAACACGAACACAAACAAGCCCCAGCCACCAAACATCATGGAAAAACCTACACTGCCACTCAACATCAGGTTGGGAAGATCTAAAAAATTCAAGAGAGTCAACTGCGCAAGTTCTGTGGGAATGGTCCCTGTGAAGAGGTTTGCATCAAACCCTATAACTTGCAAATCAGTCAGCAAACCCAGCTCTGTTGGTAACTATAAATTGACGAATAGGTAGTGAGAACATGAGAAAAGCAAAACTGTATTTGCAAGAGACAAAATTTCATAATGTACATACTGGTCCTGTCAGCTGATTATCTAAAAGTGCGATGCCTCTCATGGAGTTTGTAAGCGAATACAGGGATGATGGAATCTGGCAGCCACAGCGAAGTAAGTGATGATTTGACAAACTGAGATATTGCAGAACAATCTTGTAAGATACTTCATAAGTCATCACTTACAGTTCCCGTCAACGAGTTGTAGAGAAAGTAGAGAACTCCAAGTTTTGACAAACTTCCGAGTGCTTCAGGAATGGAGCCAAAAAGGCCACAATCGATCATCGAAATAAACTCCAAACTGGGAAGGCCGGAGAGCTCTTCTGGGATGGTGCTGGTAAGGTTCCATCCATCCAATGCCAAGCTCCTAAGCTCTGTAAGTAAGTAGAGCTCTGGCGGAATCCCTGATCCCATCAGGCCATTCAATGACAACCAAAAGTGCTTGATGATTCCATCTCCCTGATACAAGATGCCATCCTCTAGATATCCAGCGGGATCTTGCTCGCAGGGACTGATGTGATCCAGTGGGAAAACTGTGTCGGCTCCAAAAAAGAAATAATAGTCCTCCAAACTTGAATACCAAAGGCACTCATGAACACTGTGGTTTAGCCAATTGTCACTGAAGAGCCATTGTTCCTCGCTGTTGGCAAAATAGAATGTTGCAAGAACAAACCGCTGTACAGCTCTCCCCGCTGTAAGGTTTTGTAGTATGTCAATCTCTTCCATGAGCCATTCAAATGCCATGGACTGGGGTGATCTTGAGTCCTGCAGAATCGTAGAGGCTGTCGATTCCGGGAAAAGGGATAGCCAGTATTCTGAATAAGAAGTTGGTGCTGCTGATGGGATGGAAGTTGGGGAGGGCGATGGCATGAGAGTCTCCACCGTCTTGTTTCGTGATGACAATGTGGCAACCAAAATCGTGATGACTGCCAGTACAAAGATGAAACCAAGCAGAAGGAAAGTCTTGACCTGCTTGATGTGCTTTTTCTGCTGGGATTCGCTCTGGGCAATGGCACTGACGGCACTTTTTGCTTGTGGCAGGTCTTCTGGCGCAATGTCATCATCCTCGTGAACCAAATTTGCCACTGCAAGTCCTCTGTTTGATTCTGCGGGAACATATTCTTTACCTGGTGCTTCGGTAACCCGCCACTCTTCTTCATGGACACTAGACAGGCTAGTCTGACTGACCAATGGGCCATTGGCAGTGGCACCTACTAGGGAGAATCTCAGAGTGTTTGCACGTTGGAGGTCTGTACCCGGAGCACCTGCATAGGCCCCTGGACGGCAGTTGGCATTTGATGTGTTGGTGGCGCCTTGGGAATTACCCCCATTAGGAGTGGTAGCATTTTCACTTTGGTCGAGACCTGAATCTTGGAGTCGACTTTCCACTATTTTGGCCAGATCGAGTGGTTCTTCCGTGTTATCTGCCATTCCTTTCATGGCCGATGCATCCTGCGAGTCCTTGTTTATTGGATGCACATTTTTTGTGAGCCCTTGTTTGCTTGGACGGGCATCCGAATCCTCTTTTAGCCGTGCTTCCAAAATTTTTGCTAGGTCCAGAGGATCCATTGGTTCTCCCGTAGCATTTTGGGGGGCTCTGCTGGAAACATTTGTTGGATTAACTTTGTTGCCAACTGGCTTTTTCGCAGTAGTTTGACGGTGACTGTCATTGTGAGACCTGTCACTATTGGACTTTTCGTTGGATGCTCTTGCTGCTTCTTGTTCAAACTCTTGTAGCTTTCTAAGTTCCGCCTCGGTAGCTTTGCACTTGCTACCGGCAGCACGTACTTTGACAGCCTTGCCAATGGCATCGAATTCTTGTGAAGGTGCTTCCATTATTGTTGTTGAGGGTATTGGAGTGGAGTGCTACGAACGGATGTCTTGCCCTTTGGATTTGGGCAGCTCTTCTCTTCCTGGCCCTTACCGCGGTACTGCCGATGGAAGCAGAATTGCTTCTTTGTGAAGAGGTTGCACTCTTGAAGTTCAGCCTCCATGCATGGGATAAGCTCCCGATCGAGTTTTAATCAGCAAAACGAAAGGACTAGAAAATACAATGGCTACAACTCTGGGGTCTTCCACTGCTTTACCGCTGGTGATGCGTTCATGATGAACTGGTAAAAGGTTGCCCCACAACAAAACACTTGTTTGCAGCCGGAATAAAAAGGAAAATTTTGCTGGGTTGCGTTGTGACCTGGTGTAAGTGAGAAAAATAAGTTAACTGCGCATGCATTCTTCCGTAGATAATCTACGAGTGCCGGTACTTACTCTAAGGCCCTGTCCCAACAACTCTTTTTGGGGTTGGGAAATTGGACTTTAGGGCCTTCGGTTTGGCCTTGGTCTGCTGGCTTCCCCCAAACAGGCCTTTGCCCTCCTCCCAAATTGGAGCCAATTTCGGGTTTGCGCAAATCAATTTTGAGTTGGTTTGCGCAGAGCCGATTTCGGTTTTTGACTGGGTGTTCCATTTGATTGGTCGATTTGAATCTAACAGGAATTCTGTGTCAACGAACCGGTACTCAACTTCAAGTTTAACTTCAATATTGTTAATTACACTCAAGCCAGCAGGGCCAGCAGCTGCCACATCCACTCGCAGCAAACCATCCAAAATTGGATCTGAAAAAAAGAAGTTGGAAGAGGATTTGGGGGGAGGCCACATTGCTTTTCAGTTTGGCCTTCCCAAAGTCCAATTTCCCGACCTGAAAAATAGTTGTTGGGACAGAGCCTAAGCCCCCGTCTTACTGCGCAATGCATGATTGATTCTGATGTCGTCTTTGTTAAGCCTGCAATACCTACTAGAGATACGGTAGAGTCTACTAGTATCTTTTGTAGAAGGAAAAATCTTTTGTCTGCGTCCTGGCCAGCGCAATTGAACAGATGTGCGTCTCCACGTAAAGATCGGGGTCATATGTTCCCTAACCCTAACATAATTTGAGATAAGGGTGGGGTTTTGCTTTGGTCCGCTGGAAAAGACCGAAACCTTGAAGGCTCCGCCATGGCGGGAATACTACCGGTAGATCTGCGGCAGTAAGAAGAATCTGATATTACAGTACTACTATAGCATGGAACCATTTGACATTGACGAGTACCGTGATGAGGACGACGACGACAACAACACTAATGAGACCAGGCCTCTGGGGGTGGAACCCAAACGAAACCCCCTGACGGTCCGTGTGTTTGGCCTTCCATTGCGCAAAGCGGCTGCCGTCGTGATAGTCGTCTTGTTGGTGATGGCGGTGGTCCTTTCGTTGACTTCCTCCTCCCATGACAAGGCGTCCTCCGACACGAGCGTCGCTGCCTCCACAACGCCAGGACCTGTAAGACTGTTTGGCACTTCCTATCATGTCGCATCGACCACGGATGTCTACCGACACGGACATCGTCTCAAAGGGCCGTTTCCGAGCGAAATTGGTACCTTGACGGCCCTGACCGTCTTGGAGCTCTATCACGGCGCACTGTCTGGAAACATTCCCAGTGAAATTGGACTCCTTTCGTCGACCCTCAACGTCTTGGTGTTGAAAGACTGTGGAAGTCTCAATGGCACCGTCCCCTCGGAAATTGGGTTGCTTACCGCGTTGAAGGTGTTGCGGCTCGAAGACGACAAATTGTCCGGGAGTGTGCCCACCGAGATGGGACTGTTGACTGCGTTGGAGGAATTGCTCTTGCCAAACAATCAATTGGTGGGGAGTGTTCCCGGCGATCTCTGTGCGAACCCACAGTTGAAAGAAATCCGAGTGGACTGCCCTCCAGATCCTTCTCCCGTGGCATGTGCTTGCGACAATGTATGCCAATGTACCAGTCACGAGACTCACGAGGAGGAGGAGGGTCAAACCTGATGATCTAATAAACTTTCAAGTGAACTAATGGACTTACCTCCTTTTCAAGCGCTGACGAATGCCACGCCAATGGTCCTCCTTTTGGTCAGGGTGCAAATGAAAGGGGATTTAGACTTTTTGCTCCTCTGGAGTGGGGATCTGATCGCTCTCGTGGTGTATTGTATTCAAGCAAAAGACCAACGCTCAGCCTTTGAGCTATCAAGTCAATTGAAAATGCTAAAAGGTTCAAGAATGCAATGCTAGTAGAAGGCTCGAACCGAGACCTGCTGGAAGATTTGCATGGCGAACAATCATAGGCTGCAATTCGGCGACTACAACAGTAGACATAAAACAGACACTGTATCATTAGGAATTCTAGCAATCTCGGGCAAGCTCTCTGGCATCACCATTGGAGAAACCTGCTGGACAGGGCACACAGTTGGGGACGTTCCGTGATCCCCGCTCCAAGAACGTCAAGGGGGACAGTTGTGTCGAATGCTGTTGAGACAGGGCCTTGAATGAATCACCAAACCTGCCACTAGGATGGAACCGAATCGCGACGTGCCGCGCCATCGATGACGGCGCGGAAGGCATCCATTTTGGCACGATGAGAGACGGACTGCCAAGAATGACATTCCGAAATTGGATCCCCGGGAGATGAAGACAAATGGCCGTTGCATGTGCCGACGAAGCAGTTCGCCGCCAGCAAAACATGGTTCCACAGTCATTCATTGTTGCTTTGGCATTTGGTTTTTGGCATTCATTCACGCGGTTTGCCATTCAAATTGAGACCAAGCGACCGGGGGGCATGCACGATCATTCGTCGTGCGGTCCTGCTGACCCCGCAGCTGGGGAGGTACTGTCTGGGCTATATACCCTTTCATTATAGCTTGTCGTTATCGATGTTAGGTGGTGCTATGATGTAACATAACATGCATGAGGAAGAAAGACTTTTGGAAACAACAAGAGTCTAAATTATAAAACAATACAAAGAAGAATTTTACAGGATACGAAAGGGACAAACCCCTTGTGAATCTTTCAGGGAGTAGAGTAGTTGTCCTTGTGGGAGGTTTCGATCGATTCAGCCATTGCTCATCTGCCAGTACAATCCATCATCCACTGATGCTGTGCTGGGAGGAACACTTTTGGGTCTGTAACAATATATTTGTGATTGGGAAGAGCTCGGTGCCTCGCCATTCCGCTTGAGGCACTTCTTTCTGAAGAGGGCCCCTTCAGCTAACTAGCTAGCAGCCACCGTTTCCGTTTCTTTCCCTCAAAAGAAGGTCAGCCAGCCACTCAGTCAAGTCAGAGTCCAACAGAACGGCCAGCCTTGCACAGGGCGGTGTGTGTGTGTGTGCCTACGACAGAGTCGTTGAGTGTTTCGGGAACTAGCTAGCTGTTTGTTGGTTGGTTGGATGACTTTGCTTTTTTTATACAGGCGTTCCCTTGGGACTTGGAGGTGTTTGTTGCGTGTTTGATGGTGATGACGGTGGCGATTGCTGTTGTTGTATCATGAGTGCCTGTTGCTTATCATTCAAGTGCTGCTGCTGTGCCGGTTGTAGTCCTACCAGTCGTTGTCGCACAACGACAGCGACAAAGACTCCCATGACACAAAACGTTCCAATGAGGATTCCATATTCGATAAAGAAATCTCGGGTGGTGAATGTGGATTGTGCCGTGACCATGGCCCATTCATGGTTGTTCTCGTCTTCCCACTGATCACAGGGGATATTGGCGGCTCCCAGATTGTAATCTCCATTGGTTTGAGAGGAAAAGGCAATCTGATGGTAGGGGATGAAATTGCCATAGCTGTTGCTGCTACTGCTACTACTGCTCGAACTGGAAGATCCCAAGGTAGTCGTGTAGGTGAAACTGTAGGATCCGGCTTCGTTGCAGGAGTATCCCACATACTTTTGAAGATTCTTGGGACTGGAGGAAGTGAGAATATCGTTGCCGTATCCAGCGTAGACGGACAGAACGACGTAAATGTTGGTATTCTCCAAGTTTTCCGAAACGTCAAAATACACGGTGGTGGTAGCCTTGTCTCCTAGGTTGCAAGTGGGCGAGTTCCGATGAACACCAGAGCCGTAGTAGAACGTCTGGGGAGAATCGCACACTGTCTGAATACTCGTCACTTGAACGATCAAATCTTGACAGGTCTCTACTACTTGTGAGTAGTACTCGTTTTGACCGTCATAGTAGTTGTTGTTATTGTCGTTCTCCAGTCGTCGTCGTCGTCCTTCCGGGAAATGTGCTGACGTTCGCAAGTGGCTGCTGGACGAGACTTTTGCTAGCAGAGACAAGAAGAGCAACAGCACTTTCCAGCAGTGAAGAAGATTCATCGTGGAAGTGGAATGACTACGCAAAACTGGAACGCAACGGGTCACTTTCAGGATCAACTGAAGGATCCTTCGATCTATGGTTGGCAAATTTTTGATCTTGTTTTGACTTGCTGGATGAGCTTTGAGCTTTGCTTGGACTTGAAACAATGAAAGCCTGCTCTCGTTCTCTTCGTCTTGCCTTGTCTGATGCAAGTGGATGGCTTTTTCTCTTGTGTCGATCGATCTCGTCTCGTCGATGGGATAGATTGCATTCAATGATTGCTACTAGTCTACTTACCTCATCGGTGTTGAGAGAAACCCATGGTGATGGGATCATCAGTTTGGGGTCCAGAAAATTGGACTGAAGGACATCCAACGGTTAAAAAGAGGTGCGCGCACAAGAATGGTCAAACCTTGAAAAGTCTCGCCATCAATATCCGTTTCTATGGACATGAGGACGAACTTTGCCTGCGCTCACAAAATCACAAAAGATCCAATAATTAGGGTTGGAATTAATGATGCAGAGTCCTCCGAACCTCATGGATGGTTGACTTCATCACTTTAACCTTATAGTTACCTCAACTACCTTTTTAATGCCATCTAGCTGGCTGTCGTCACACTTTTCGATCGGAACCCCACAATAATTCGATCCACCATGGGAAAGAAACGAATAAGGCTTCCTCGGATCGCAATAGCCCAAGCATCGTCGACGACCTGGTTCCGCACACCCATCTGCTGCATTCCACTCTTTTCCACAAAGGAGGAAGAAGAAGAAGAAGAGCCCTTGTTGGACAAGTCGTTGGTCCGCTTTAAGATCAGTGGCGTTTCTAGAAGACAAGGTGGCAGCGTATCGGACACTGGTTGCTGAAGAGCTTGACGGACGATACAAAGACGGATATTTCTTGCTCTTAGGCGATTCTTCCACTGTTGCCATGGACGAGTTGACGCGGAATCGACGCCATCTGGCTCGCATGGAGTCGATGCTCAGAAATCGAACCGTAGCAGAGAAAACCAGAAGGAGAATCTTGAGCAGTCGGAGTCTGAATGGCGGTAGTCAGCACAGTATACAGGAGGATGAAGACAATGAAGAAGAAGATCCACGTCTCACCAATCAGGATCAGACGACTAACACTAACGGCACCACTAACACCACTAACACTACAGAGAGCGAGATCCACAAGAACGATTCCAACGTATCCAACTTATCCGATAGTTCCCGCAGTGCTCCCATCTCGGAGAAGAATGCCTGTAATGGGACTACTAGTGCTACTAGTGCTAGCACTGCTAAGGGCACCAATGACAATGACGTAGTCAAGCCGCAAAAGAAAAAGAAAATGAAGAACCCTCCGCAACACGTCAAGACAAAGTTCTGTGCGTGGGCTGCCTCCTTTGCCAGTCTCGATCCTCGCATTCGCATTCATCGCTTCTTTCAGGAAGTTGCTCAAGAGGGAGACCAGAAACTCGCCAAGGACTCCCGCAACCAGCAACCAGAAAAACCCACCAATGAAAAATCCGCACGAGAATTATTGGCATCTTGCTTTAATATGGCACAAGTATTTTCCGTCTGGAGGCCGTGCAGCAAAGAGGCCATTCGTAAAATGATGGCAGGACACGGGGTGGGCAAAGGATTGGATATCAAGGGCAAATCCGCGAAATTTGGCAAATGCTCCGCATATGTTCCCTTTTTACAAATTCATTCCGAACGCGACAAGCACAAGATCGAATGGTTGCCTCAAGATGCCCGCATGACCATTTTCTATGCCACTCTGGAGACGCGAAACCAAGCTCTGAAAGTGGCGACGAGCGTCCGCGATGAAATGGTCGCCACAGTCCAATCGCTCGACGATTCCATGCTGTCACAACGCGATTCCATTACCGAAGCCGTACGCCAGGCTGGCATGGACAATAGCAGCAACAGTCGATTGTCTCTCAACAATACCAATACCAACAGTGAACATCAAAAATCGTCTTTGCTGCAACGTCGAACTTCCGATGACACTCCGGCTCTCAAGAAGAAGAGTGAACATTCGTTGTTGCATCGTGCAACGTCCGATGGCACCGCAGCATCCATTCAACAACGCCGTCGTTCTTCCGACCTTGAACGTTCGTCGTTGCAACGGGGAACGTCCGATGGCACGGCAATATTATCCATTCGCCGTCGCTCGTCCAACATGGACGACTCGGCGACGTCCCACAACGCTCGCTCGTCAGTTTCCTTTGAACCCGTTACTGTGGAGGAGGAACGACGCTCGTTGTTGCAAACCAGCAGAACATCCTCCGACAATGATGTCATTCTCTACACGGCGGCATCACAACAAAAACAAAAATGGGAAATGACGGATCCATCCATCCAAACAGTCGACGATTACGAAAAGGATGGAGTCTACGGAATGGAATTGCCAGAACGACTCTTTTGGGAAGCCTTTGTCATTCGAGAGGAAGAACATTGTCAGCGATGGAGAATGCTGCAGAAAAGCAAGCACGGCAAAAATGCTAACAGCTCTCGGACGACGGAAGATGCGGATGAGTCATCGGAGTCACTGCATAAACAGGGATATGCCGAGTTGGTCATGGAACAAATGCTCCAAGTCACAGAAACCCAGAGTCTAGAGGAACCGGTCATTGAGTGGATTGACGAAGCCAACCCCATTGAGGACGATTCTGCCAAAAGCCTTGAAGAGGATGACTCTTCCAAACAGACGAGCCTTGCCGAGGAAGCCCCTCCTCCCATGCCCGTCAAAGAAAACCCCGATCGTCACAATACTTCCGGTACGTTGTCCTCGTTCGCAGATATGCTCCCCCCACCCGATTTTGCTTCTACCGAAACTCTACCGAGCTGCAATCACACCGTCCGCAAGGGACGACGACGACCCAAAACTCCCTCGTGGTCTTTTGTCGTTTGCGACCGGAATCGATTCGAAGAACAGATCCTACGACCGATTCGACAACGGGACAAGACGTTTCAGAGCAACTATGACTGCTTTGCGGGGGAACTACGGCGTTCCGGCTTTGAAGAACAAACTACCGGAACGGGCTACTCCCGATGGCGCCACGTCTACTTTCAAATGGATCGGCCCGAATTGTGTGGTCTGATTGGAAGCGAACATGTCACGGGCCGTGAATCCATTGTCGCGTACCAAGATGCCAATTTCAAGTCGCTGCGCAAGAGTCACAAAAAGGAAAAGGGTCGTCCTCGTGTCGTCTTGTGGAGTCTGCCCGACGACGAAAATCCGCTGTGTCCGCACAATCTACTCATGGCGTACGAAGAATATGGACGCGTCGTGCCTGTGGTGTCCGATTTTGATGGGTTCTTGGTGGGAACGAAACGAATTCATTTTGAAACGGAACTGGAGGAGTACCAGGTGGATCTGATGAAGGGGAACATTAAAACAGCACATGAGATTTTGGAAGGCAACACGTCGGGAAGCAGCTGGGCTGCGAAATGGCAGTATGCTGGACGTGACCACTTGTTTGCTGGGGCATCAAAACGACAGGGTATGCCACGGTTTGGCTACGGCGATGAGAAGTCGTACAAACTGATGGAAGACGCTGTCACACGGCTTGCCGAGCTCGACGGTGCTGTGCGGCATGGGGCAGAATGCTTCAACTTTGAATATCCTCAAGAGATGGATCCATCCTTTTTGGTGATTTCCGACACTATCGAGGGCAACGTCCGATGGCAGTATGTCGACTCGTCTCAGTTGCACTACTTTCTCCTCAAACGAATCGTGAATAAATTTACGTTCCCTCTCAATCCCAAATGGATTCTTTGTGATCCTGGGTGGAGCAAAATTTACGACAAGCTCCTTACGAGCGATATTCCCAACATTCAGCAATCAATGAATGTCTGGTTCCCACCCAAGTCTGGTGTCCGCGATATGATTGCAGAGATACAAGAGAAGCATCCCACTGGACTCAGCTTCGAATCATCTGGCAACGGTGTTAAAACCACGAGGAAAGCGAGCATGGGGCTTTCTGTTGTGGCAACCTACAATCTACAATCCGACACAAAAGACCAGCAACAACCTGTACAACTGTTTATCAATCGCGGATCTGTGGTGCAGTTTTCTCGGCCTGGGTTGCGTGCAGGGCTGGTCTGCGCCACGAACGAGTGCTGTGTACCAGTCTGCGGGGGAGTGACACAAGCCGTTGTCGAAGCTGGCGGGCGACAACTCTTGAGGGATGCTATGAGTCTTCCCATCATTACTGAGACATCCTTTGGTCCCGTTCGGTGCAGCACTGGGGACGCCCAGGTTGTCTCTCGACAAGACGGTAGCAAGTATGGCAGTTTAGACGTGAGCCACGTGATCTGGGCTGCGGGTCCTTCGTACGGAGAATCGTTTTCGTCCGTCAACGACATTGCATTAAAGGACGGCTTGCTTCGACTGGCCTATCAAGCATCCTTGGAGCGGGCCAAAGAGCAAGGTTTGGAGTCAGTCGGTTTCTCTCTGATTAGCGCCGGCAAACGTGGTAGTCGATGGGATCCTCAGAGGACGTTGCGAATTGCTATGCGGGCTATTTGTGACCATCGAGAGTTTGGAAGCGTAAAAGAGGTTCACTTGTGCGCCTTTACGGCCAACGAGGTGTCCGCCCTTGAGTGCATTGCTACCGAGTTTGAATTGTGCTAATAGTTGATGCTTGGTAATAGGCGAATAGAAAGCTCAAAATATTAAAATTGCTAGTAATATACACAAAGAAGCATCTAGACAGTAAAATCGAGATGCTCAAATGAGGCCGAAGAGTCTTGCTTGCAGCTGCCTGTCTCTTCTTCATCCTTGCTGCTTTTATCTTCTTCATCATAACATGGCACTTCAACAGCACTTCTAAAGAAGAGCTTCCAGGGACCATGCTCTGAAGCAGGAACCACAGATCCAGCAGAGGCATAGCAACCTGGATGCAACACCCCAGTCACTTGGGTGTCTTCAAGGGTGAGCCCGTTGGCATCAATAAAGTGTCCACTCACGTGCGAATCATCCACAATGGTGTTGCCCTCAAAGTGAAGCTTGCTGTACTCATAGAGGGAGTTGCCAAAGAACCAGAGCTCTCCTTGCACCGTAGCACCCATCATGCGAGCATAGTAGGCGAACATGGGTGTGCCGTAGAGAAGAAAGACCAGCCAGTTTCCTACTCCAAACTGCCAAATATGGTTGATGTATACTCCACAAAAGCTTTGCTGCAAAGGTCTTGGTAGATTCAGCATCACCACTTCAACAGCCTTGGTCAAAAGAATCCAAACAAACAGCTGGAGGACAAAGGCCGCAGCCAATCCAACAGCCCTGATGGTAGAGGAGGGGCTAGCCAATACGGCAACACCAACCTCATAGGCAGGGATAAGGCTGGCAAAAATGACAACATTCAGTAGCAGCTGCAGGAATTCTGGAAGGATCATGTCCATGATCAGACTGGGTTGCCATGATTTTCCTGCTTGGTTCAACTCAGTGATGTTGTCCCTTACATCAGACCTGGGAGGAATTTTGGATCTGATGATCTTGACTCCTGTATGGAGGTTGGAATTGTAGCCAACACTGCTGTTGATGATCTCCATCTTGGAGTCGGCCTTCTGGTCCAGGTCAACAGTGCTAGTGGCCACAAAGGACTTGCGAATCTTGACAAAATCAACCTTGGAGGGAAAGAAGATTCGGTATGGGTTGCTGATGCAAGATGCCATGTCAACATCTAGGCCATGGAGGAACAGGATGATATGCCAGAGCTTTGTCTGGCCAAAGAATGGAGTCTGAGACCAAGAAGCAATACGGAAATGGAAGTCACACGCCCAGTTGGTTGCTTTGCGCCATAGTGAACCCTCATACTCATCCGATGGATCTCGTTTCCCAATGAGCAACCATTTGAAAGCAATGCTAGGGACGAGAGCAAGGAAGGATGTGGCTGGGAAGAGCACAAGCCAATGCAGAATGGTTGCATAACGCCAAGAAGGCAAAATGACATTGAGGAAGGAATGAACCAGGTAAGAAAGCGCAAAGAAATGGTACACTTCAATGATGGTCCAGGCTATCTTGAATGCATCCAAAAACACATCCTCCTGCCAGGATGGTTTCGCATGCTTGTAGGTCCCAGAGTTGTGTGCTGGGATGCCTTTGGCAAGGATTCCAGGTGGTAGTTCTGCACCCTCTTCCACAGCAGACAGTTTTTCTACCTTGCTCCCATCACCAACAACAGAACCTGGGCTGACCATGCCAGATACATGGCTGTTCTTGCCAACAATAATTGGCCTGAAGGTCATCTTGGGGCATGTGTCAGTCTGAGAGAACTTCCTGCACCTGATGGAGTGTGCAATAGTGGCATTGTCTCCCACTCTGACCAAATCACATTCACGGATGAAGGACTCAATCTTGGCAGTCCATGGCAGGTCTGCCCCAAGGAGCCAGTAAAGATCCAAATGTACTTTGTTTCCACAATGAATGGCCCGACAAATGACTCCCAGATTTCCAAAAGCCTGTCTACAAACCACCATCGCAAGTAGTCCTTTGACAAGAGGTCAAACTGCTGGGGTCGATACTTGCCAATGACGGCCAACTTAGAGAACACCACAACAAGAGAGAACGATAGGAGGAAAAGAGGGAAGACCAGAGGCAGCACAAGCCAGAAGATTGGGCCATGACATTCTCCCTCTCCAGTTGAGTCACACTGCTCCATAGCCCAGGAAGTCAAGAAGTAGGATGGAGCAGCTGAAACCAACAGCAACAGAATAATTGTGACTGACCCCAGTGCCTGCAGGACACCAAGTACAGGTTTGGAGATTTTGGATCTTGATGTATTCCATTCGTACTCTTTGCTACCAACAGCATGCTTGGGGAAGCCTTGTGCCTCTGATGCCATCAGATAGTTGGCAAGTTCTGATGGAGTAGGGTACAGCTGCTCGAAATTGGAAGGGAGTGACACATGCAACTCTTCCTCTACTTTGTTTCTGAGTTCTGCACTCTTGAGAGAGGTTATCCCATTCTCCATCCAAGTCTTGGATGCATCAACATCTGGCCCAAGGACAGATGATAATACTGTGCTCCATCTTTTGGAAAAGTCATCGCCAAGTCTGGCAATTTCACCTGTTTCCTCTGTGGGTTGGTTGACAGTGTTATCCTGAGTGTCTGGATTCATGAACGCCAGGCTTTCAGTTGCAACAGCGAAGCTCTCTCCACCTGGAGCATGTGGTGAAGCTGTAGAAAGGTTGTATTGAAGAAGCACACAATTGGCCTTCCAGTCACCAGAAAGAGTAGTTTGCCGGACCAAGGATCTCTTGAGCTTTCCAGATGTGGTCTTGGGGGTCACACCAACTTTGAGAATGAGCACCTCACGTACAGTCAGTCCATGTATTTGAGCAACATGATTGGATATCTTGACAGTTAAGTCATCATTTGCTGCCTTGTCAAAGTCCTTACGAGCCTCAGCTGTGATTCCAACACCGTCATCTCCATGTTGGAAGGCCGTGGTCCTCCCAGGTCGGATAACGTCACCAAAAGATTCATCAATGGCAAGCTCAACATCAGTTGGGTAGTAGTTCTTGCCATTGATAATGATCACATCTTTGAGTCTTCCAGTGACATAAAGTTGTCCATCCACAATCTTGCCCAAATCACCAGTGTCAAGCCAGGTACCCTCATAATTGGAAAGTACATTGCCAAATGTGGAGGCTGTTAGCTCTTTCTGGCCATAGTAGCCAGCAGTAACTCGAGGCGACTGGGCCCAGATACTCCCAACCATACCATCTTCCACCTCCTTTCCATCCTCAACAATCCGGAGCTTGAGGGTTTGAGAGTCCACCTCACCACAAGCGACGAGGTCCTCAGCATCAGGGTAGCCAGGTCCACCTGTTAGGTATACTACAGATTCGGCAAGGCCGTAGATGTTGTAGACATGTTCAGGCCTCATCTTCACTGTGTTTGCGAGTTCTTTTACCACATGGCTCTGAGCAGGCTCGCCACCAAACATGGCACGCCTCACACAACTCCAATCAGCGCTTCTATTTGCCTGTCTCAAACGCTTGAGGAGCAAGGCATAGGCAAAGTTGGGGCCACAGGTCAGGTTGGCCTGGTAGGTCTCTACCATGTCACACCAAAGCAGAGGCCTGACAACAAAGTCTAGAGGAGATGCCATAACAAGATGGACACCCTGATACAAGGAAGTCATAAAGCCAGCTACAAGTCCCATGTCTGAGTAGACACCATCAGAAAGAGAGATACATCAGTGCCAGTATTGGAACATGAATACTGGTCAACACTCAATGATTCTTACCATGGTATTGGGGTACCCATAATGCTGCCACCGTGGAGCTCGCATTGGAAGAGTTTACATATGACATGTTACCAATGGCCCTGCAGTTCTCTACAAGATTCCGGTGGCTGATCATGACTCCTTTGGGCCGGCCAGTGCTCCCAGATGTGTACTGGATAAAGCAGATATCATCTGGGTGGCCCACAAATGTTTCATAGCCTTTTGGCTTACCATGCTTTTGTTTCTTAATTGGCAACTTGTCTGTGCCAATCCACTTGACTCCAGTCTTGTAAAAGACTCCAGCAGCAGTCATGGCTGTGGCAAAGGCGTTAGTAGTCAGAGCGAACTTGGCTCCAGCATCCTCCACAAATCCACGGAATTTGGGCATGTCAGTTTTGAGCTGATTAGGATTGGGTGGGTAGATGGAGCAGGGGATGACTCCAATCTTCATGGCCCCAAACATTCCAGCCAAGAACTCTAGTCCAAATGGATAAGCAACCATGACACGATCTCCTTTTTGGCACCCCAACTTCAGGAGCCGAGCAGCCACAGCATTGGCCTCATCTTCTAGCTGCTGACATGTCATCTTTCTCTGCTCTTTGCAGTTGATATCCACCCACGTGAAAACAATCCTCTCAGGGGTCTTGGCTGCATGAAATGCCAAGGCTTCCAAAATGGTGACAAACATTGTTGCCTCGTTGTTGTTAGTTGGTTCTTGGCATTTTCGTTGTGCCTGTTTGGTTCCCGTCTTTTTGGAAAGCAGGGAAGATACTCCTTGCACGCTCCTTTCGGTGGACATTGCCTTTATGATTTATATTCCTATAGAGGCGTGGTATACAAATCGAGCGACAGTCAACTTCAGATCAATAAGAGGCAGCGTTCGGCGGTTGTTGTCGTCTCTTGTATTTTGTGAGACAACTTGATAACTTGATCGAGGCAGGCACCAAAACGGCGGCTTCGGCTGCCGCTGGGCTGTGATCCGAGTGGGGGCTCGCTGGGCTGTGATCCGAGAGCTGATCCGAGTAATTTTCACCGTGCTTTGCAACAAACTGGTCCTGTCCAGTTTACTAGGTTGAGAGCATCCTTTAATGCTTTTTCGTCGGGGGTAATTTTAGTTCTTTAGAGCGAACTCCAATACTCTACCAAACCCAACCATCCAAACATTTAAACATCAGGAATAAACAAACCAATTATTGCTTTGGCACGCACGATCCATCAACTAATTTCCCCTCTCGGTACTAAGTATGCATACAGTTAATTTCCGCGGGCACAACATAATGCGCAGGCAGTTTGCGTGATCTGAATGGTTGGCAAGCACGAGCCCTCGAGCACACATGCATACTCGCACATTCAATTTTTAGTGAAAGAACGTTTGCCACAAGGGCCAACGTGAAAGCCATCAAGTCTGGCAAGCTCCAAGATCTGGGTCCTTTGTGACCGGCAGTCGCTTCTTTTTTGCTTTTGAAAATCGGAACGTTTGCGAATGTTACTTATCCGGAGTATGCATAGGCATTAGGTAGGTACTGCCTGGTACCGTAGGTACTGACACACACGAGATGGATCCTTGCATTGCTCGAGACGGTGCCTGCTGTGGCTACATGTACCCTGCTACCGATGGCACAACCGTACTAGCGCAGTAGCACGCTTGCTTCCCACCAGATGCATAGCCTCGTGCAGGATCGCAGCTAGTACAGGATCGCAGCCTCCACCAGTACCGTACGAAAAAGGAACCAAACAATGGTAATTTCGCGAAATGACTGTTTCCCTCCGAGGAGAAAGAAAGATTGATGGACGTTTTAGACCATGGCTAGTGGCTTAACCAATGCATTGATCTAGCTAGACAAAGGTTTTGTCTCCCCAACACACTCACGAACACTCCCCATGAAAATATTTGGCTGGATTGCCTGGAGCCATAATTGAAAATCAGGCTTGAATTCCATTTGTTGCCATTTGTCATGGGGTTCTCCATGGGAAAAGGTGCTTCATCCCTTACTATCAGGGATCGATCTGCACTGTAGAGTCGCTCTGGTAGAGGTTGAAAGGGGGTTGTTGGCTTGATGCAAGAGGAGAGCAGCATACAGTCGTAGAGTAAAGGTGGATTCATTGACGTGAGACATTTTTCCTTGAATCTTCAATCGAATCGAATCGATTCGATTCGACTCGAATCGATTCGATTCGACTCGACTCGACTCATTCTTTCAGTCCATTGTGTATGGACTGTCGAAAAATAGTAAAAGAATTCTATTTTTAAAAATTGTCCACCGTGCCGCTACCCTAAACCGATAACCCCCACAAACATTGGGATGGAGCGAGTTGCCCCCCTCAACCGGGAAAGTTTAAACCCAACCGAGGCAAGATATTAAGGGGAAGGTCACCAACTGGACCCGCCCGTGCTGCTGCTGTCATCAGCACTGCTACTAGCTGCACTATTGCTGATAGTGTCAACACTGCAATTGTCTGAATCAAGATCAGACCGGAAAGCCTGACCCAAAGTTGCTCCTGCCTCGTGGAAGGCTGCTGCCAGTTGTTGCTGCTCTCTGCTTGCTCTGTCCACCACTGGCATCCAATTTGAAAGCCAGGCTTTGATATCGGACAGCGCCATTTCCATTTGGTCTCTAGTAGCCTTTTGAAAATGGAGTTGACAAGAGACAGTGGCACCTGGACTGTCGAAAAAACAACGAGCCGGAATATGACAGCTGGACCCTGCCCTCTCCCTTCAGAAACCCAGCCAGCAACGTATCCTCTTCAGATCTTCGCAATTTTGTCGCCGCCAACAAGCCAAGACCAACCAATGTCTGCGTCATCAATCAATCTGGATGCTGCTTCTCATAGTTGCGAGGGTTCTTACAAGGTCCCTCCCGATGGTGAAGCAATGTGGCAAGAAACGCAAGTATATCCCAACTGTTTGAATACCCTGGCCAAAGCTTACCTCCAAGCAAAAGACAAACTCTTTGTGGGGCTGGTTCAACAGAGCTTAGTCAGGATTGTCTGCCGCACGTGAAATATGGAGGATCCCGATTCTTGTCATGCCTGCTACGAGGTACGCTGTACTCAGAGTACCGGTAGACGGTTGGTTGCTGGGTTGCCAGGGAAGGTTGCAAAGAGTACCAGCTATGCAGACAAGTTTGCTCTGCAGTACCGACAATGCTTCTACTTGCAGCCAGCCGCAGTGATGCCGTCCGATGAAGCAACATACCTATGTAACATGTTGTGGATGGTGTATGAATGATGAATGGGTGAATACCCCATGGCAGCTGTACCGCCATGCTGTACCGGTTGTACCGTACTGTACCCATGTAGGCATAGCCACTTCCCCTTCACCCATTACACGAGCAGAAACGGTACAGGCGGTCATCCTGCTATATATAGGGTTTGGTTAGAAGTAGCTAGAAGGGCAAATATGATTTAATAGACTGTGTTCCAAGGGACAGGAGGTTTTAAAAAATGCAACAGGTGACCTTGCATCAACTGCAGGATTGACGGCTCACAAAATCTCTCAGAAAGCAGTCTTTTCAATGGTGCCGGGCCCAATCGCTCCTGCGCTTCTGTGCTTTGCCTCTCGAAACCAAAATAAAATATAACGACATTGTAGACAAACCCACAAGTAGCAAAAAGATGAACAGTTTCATCACGAGTTTACTGGGCACCCTGGAAACAGCGGACGTCACAATAATCGACGACAATGCTGGAGGGAAATCGTTGCTCAACAAACGAGCTGCTCGTCGGCCTGCGTCCGCTGCCAGTATCGAGTCTCTTGAGAGATGGCAAGAGCGCAAAGCTCAAACAAGAAAGGAGTCACTAGCTCCTCCCAGCCCACCTTTTAGACGAATCCATTCCAATGAAGAAACCACGGTTTCTCGATGGAGGGCATGCCGCAAGCCACAGGAACCGGCTCGTCTAGAATGTGATCAAAAGCAGGATGGTGCAAGCCCTGTTCACCCTCCTCATGCTCCTTGTAGACGAGGCAGTATCGAGAGACGCACAGAAGGCGAAGAGATGTCGTTGTGCTCTGATTCCATCGTCGCCTTTCTGTCGACCTGTGAGGCTGCTTGATTTTGATCTCACAAAGTCATGCGGTGGGTGGGGTGGGTGTAGGTGGCTATGAGGATGGGGAGGGGTAGCAGACACGCCTGAGAAACTAAAACTAGCAAGGGGTATTTATTTGATCGTCAATTACTATTGGAGATTTCATGCACATCAACTATACACGTATTATTGGCTGTAGCATTCTAGTGTGAACCAGCAAAACCCGTCAGATTTCTGTTGGCAGCCAGCTGTTCCGTGGGTTCTCGAGATATTCACTCAATTAGTTTGCGACGTCGTGATGAACATACGTGTTGACATGTTGCAAGTATACATTGGACCTTTTCCACTTTCTTTTGATCCGTCTAGTTGTCGGGTGGCTGGATCGCAGGCCCAAGGGAGGTATCCGTGCCTACCACAACGTTGAGAGACGGGAGCCCTACCGGTACCGTATAATCCGCTGCGCTTCATAACTCCCATCATAAACTCCCACCACTAGCTGGCAACCCACCTGAACAAACACCTGACACCCGAGCTGGTAGTGTACCGAGACACTAGCTAGCTAGCTGGCTGGGAGCAAATGTCTCACGCCACGGGAAACAAAGCAGAACGTTTTTGCGGCTCTGGATAGGCATCTTCTCCTACTGTGTCTGATGAGTGCACAGGAGGCACTCCGAGCTGTTGTTGTTGTTGTATCAACTGAGCCTGTGCCTCCAGGAATGCTTTGCAAAGCTCTCGATGCTTCCGTTGCGCTTTCTCGACCTTTCTGGAAGGAAGAAATAGATTGTACTTGACACCGTATTGTTGTTGGGTTTCTGGATAATCCGTTGTTGTTGTCATTGATGATGAAGTGTCGTCCCCCTGCATTGCCATTGATTTCATAATGACAGAAGCATATGTCGATTGTCCCATGGGTAATGGATGCGATGGATGACCATGAAAGGCAACTATATTCTGGTTGGATGAAAACGAAATGTCGACCAGTGGAAACTGACTCCATGAGGTTGTGGGAAAAGATTCTGCGGTGGACACATGTGCACTACCTGCGGCCTTGCCCATTTTGGATTGAAACAATCTCTCTGGCAGTTGTAACATTCCCTTCGTGAGCGCCACCCGGATGGATCTTGCGGCGCCCGTGACATCTCCAATGCCAAATGACTTTTGGGTAGAAGGGTGCTCCGCTACCACGTTGGTAATGCCATTGCCAAAGAGCCCACCACGAGAAGAAGATTGATCAGGTGCGTTCTTGTTGCACTCATCATCAGCAGTACTCATAATATCATTCATGTCGGCAAACGAGTCGACCCCACAGCGGCCCCGCATATTGACGACCATGCTAATGTTCCAACTGTGTTCCCCCGAAAGAGCTCGTTTCAACAACCAACCAAATGCCGTCACCAAGTCATTGGTGGATATATAGGAACAAGGCGAGTCATCTGTGCGTTTCTTGTCGTTTCGAATGGCTTCCATTCCTACCTCCTTCATGGCACTTAGCACCTGTGGCGAGAAAGGCAGCGCCAAGTATTCATGTCGGCCTTCATTGGTACATGGAGGTGGTTGGTCACGATCATTGTCGTTTTGTTTGTCTGCATTATTATTTGGCGTGGAGACGAATGAGGATGGCGACCACCAGTCACTCCACCATGCTGTGGTTTGTTGTTGGGGATGATGGAGACCCATGAGATCCGCCAGATCTTCCGTCATCATTCCACCACAGGCGGCTGTGGCTCTCCGATTGCTGATTTGTCGTGGGTACGGGAGTTGTTGCATTTCTCTCCCCCAGCACTGTACAAAACGGACACACGAGGCAGTGTCTCCCAGGGCATGCAAACAGTTGACACCGATGGCCGTTCCACCGCATTCAAAGTAGGTCACTCGAATCTTGACCAGACTGTCGTAGGTTTCACTTTCGCGATCATCATTATTGTCATGGCCATGATCAAAAAGCGCGTCAAACAGTGGCAGCAAATGGGGATGCCCCGTTCCAGACACATGCGAATGTCCCCGTTCACTGTCACTATTATTATTCTTGTCGTTATCGTTAGTATCGTTAGTACCAAGCCACTGGTCGAGTGTGGTATCGACGGCTTGTCCAAATGCCAGTGAGATGGTGTCGGTTTGGGGGGCGCACTGAATGGACTGGAAGGTTGTTGTTTGGATGCTTCCACTAATCACGGGGAAATGAACCAGAACGCGTCCCAATGACGATTGGAGCGCTTGTGCATCGAGCGTCTCGCGGAAAAAGTAGGCAAATGGCAGTTGCTCGTGCCGAAGATGCACGTCCGAGACCGTCAAGGGGACTTGGAATGCTAAGCTGTCATCGTCGCGATGATCATTCTTCAATGCGGCAGACACTTGATGACGAGACCGAGTGGACACCACAAAGGGGGCGGTATAGGGGGCGCCACCAGTATCTACAGCGACGGAGAGTCGTCGCCGTTGGCATGGTTGCTGGCGATGGCACCACTGAAGATACTGCCAGAGCCGACCCGCTGGCATGCCTCTGAGCAGTTGAGACCTCATAATATAAAATACGATGAGGCAATTCTGACCTTATGTCCACTGATACGATGTTGGCTCTACCTTACCGGTACTTATGGCATAGCGAGTATGGAGGTATGGAGTATGGCCCAATCTTCGCCGCCATCTCAACATTGTCAACTCAACAGAAGAAGTGCGTGGTGGAATGACAGGTTGGTCGGTTTCGCAATTAGTCGAGTGAAGGTGCTTCCGTGTGAAACACGGAAGGTCGCCAGGATGACGGACACGACGTCACATGCTTTGGGCTTGCGGGCGTGACAAGAAGCTCAGTAAAAGCATTATGATACATTACTCGGAATGGGTTTAAGAAATAATGCTGGATAAATAACACTTGGGGGGTCTTGACTAAAAACTAAGGGGGGCTGAGCTAAATCGGCAAATACATGGAGAACAAAGAGCAGGAAGCACCAATATAAGTCCAACCCCTCTCCCTGGCCCTAACAACATGTCATTTCCCACCACACAAGGCTTCCTCCCACCCCGATCCATAACCCTTTTTAATTTAGTCATAATTTTCCTAGGTAGTCTAGCTAGCTAGTACAGGATCGCAGCCTCAATAGGGATGTTGGACGATTTCAGTTTTGCTAACAGCGATTTTTGAAACCAAGGCAGAATTAAAAAGAGGAATTCAAAAATTAGAAAGGGATTGTTTCCAAGGGAGGATTATTTGAGGGAGATGTTTTCACAAAGGAGAGCTGAAGAAATAATTGTATAAGGGAAGAAAGAAAAAAAGGAGGATATGGGCGTTTGAATTATGGGATAATTTGAAATATTATAAATGATGCTAAAATTTGAAGGCATAGTTTCAAAATTTGAGGGACAAGGGAGAATCGGCAAAAACGTCGAAAGGTCCCTGTGCAGCCCAATATGGGTTTCGCTGGTACCTGGAAAGTGCCGACATAACCCATCTAGCCAGAGGGTGTGGTAGCTACCGGTATGGCTACTGTCACACTCTTAAAGAAGAGCTTCCAGGGGCCATGCTCTGAAGCAGGAACCACAGATCCAGCAGGGGTGTAACAACCTGGATGCAACACCCCAGTTACTTGGGTGTCATCTAGGGTGAGCCCATTGGCATCAATAAAGTGCCCACTCACATGGGAATCATCCACAATGGTGTTACCATGAAAGTGAAGCTTACTGTACTCGTAGAGCGAGTTTCCAAAGTACCAAAGCTCTCCTTGCACTGTTGCTCCCATCATGCGAGCGTAGTAGGCGAACATGGGTGTGCCATAGAGAAGAAAGACCAGCCAGTTCCCTACTCCAAACTGCCACATATGGTTGATGTATACTCCACAAAAGCTTTGCTGCAAAGGTCTTGGTAGATTCAGCATCACCACTTCAACAGCCTTGGTCAAAAGAATCCAAACAAACAGCTGGAGGACAAAGGCTGCTGCCAAGCCAACAGCGATGATGGTAAAGGAGGGGTTAGCCAATACGGCAACACCAACCTCATAGGCAGGGATGAGACTGGCAAAAATGACAACATTCAGTAGCAGCTGCAGGAATTCTGGAAGGATCATGTCCATGATCAAGCTGAGCTGCCATGATTTTCCTGCTTGGTTCAACTCAGTGATGTTGTCCCTTACATCAGACCTGGGAGGAATTTGGGATCTGATGATCTTGACTCCTGTATGGAGGTTGGAATTGTAGCCAACACTGCTGTTGATGATCTCCATCTTGGAGTCTGCCTTCTGGTCCAGGTCAACAGTGCTAGTGGCCACAAAGGACTTGCGGATCTTGACAAAATCAACCTTGGAGGGGAAGAAAATTCGGTATGGGTTGTTGAGGCAAGAAGCCATATCAACATCCAGACCATGGAGGAACAGGATGATATGCCAGAGCTTTGTCTGGCCAAAGAATGGAGTTTGAGACCAAGAGGCAATTCGGAAATGGAAGTCACATGCCCAGTTAGTTGCTTTTCGCCATAGTGAACCCTCATACTCATCTGATGGATTCCGTTTCCCAATGAGCAACCATTTGAGAGCAATGCTAGGGATGATGGCAAGGAAGGATGTGGCTGGGAAGAGCACAAGCCAATGAAGGATGGTAGCATAACGCCAAGAAGGCAAAATGACATTGAGGAAGGAATGAACCAGGTAGGAAAGTGCGAAGAAGTGGTATACTTCAATGATGGTCCAGGCTATCTTGAAAGCATCTAAAAACAAATCTTGCTGCCAGGATGGTTTTTCACACTTGTTGGGCCCAGAGTTGTGTGCTGGGATGCCTTTGGCAAGGATTCCAGGTGGCACTTCTGCACCCTCTTCCACAACAGACAGTTTTTCCACCTTGCTTCCATCACCAACAACAGAACCTGGGCTGATCATGCCAGATACATGGCTGTTCTTGCCAATATTAATTGGTCTGAAGGCCATTTTGGGGCCTGTATCAGTTTGAGAGAACTTCCTGCACCTGATAGGGTGTGCAATAGTGGCATTGTCTCCCACCCTGACCAAATCACATTCACGAATGAATGACTCAATCTTGGCAGTCCTTGGCAGATCTGCCCCAAGAAGCCAGTAAAACATCCAAATGTACTTTGTTTCCACAATGAATGGTCCAACAAATGACTCCCAGATTTCCAAAAGCCTGTCCACAAACCACCATCGCAAGTAGTCCTTTGACAAGAGGTCAAACTGCTGGGGTCGATACTTGCCAATGACGGCCAACTTAGAGAACACCACAACGAGAGAGAATGAGAGGAGGAAAATGGGGATGACCAGAGGCAGCACACTGAATGCGATTGGGCCACGACATTCTCCAGCTCCAGTTGAGTCACAATGCTTTATGGCCCAGGAAGTCAAGAAGTAGGGCGGAGCAGCTGAGACCAATAGCAACAGAATAATGGTGACTGACCCCAGAGCTTGCAGAACACCAAGTACAGGTTTGGAGATCTTAGATCTTGATGTATTCCAATCATACTCTTTGCTGCCAACATCATGCCTGGGGAAGCATTGAGCCTCTGATGCATTCAGAAAGTGAGAAAGTTCTGATGGAGTAGGGTACAGCTGCTGAAAGTTGGAGGGAAGTGACACATGCAGCTCTTCCTCTACTTTGTTTCTGAGTTCGGCGCTCTTGAGAGAGGTTATCCCATTCTCCATCCAAGTCTTGGATTCATCAATATTTGGTCCAAGGGCAGAGGATGCTACCATGCTCCACCTTTTGGAAAAATCCTCTCCATTTTTGACATTTTCACCTGTTCTGTGGCCTTCAGAAGTGATGGCTTCGTCAAAGGGATTGCTGACAGTATCATCCTTAGTATTTGCAATCATGTAAGCAGGGCTCTGAGTTGCAACAGCAAAACTCTCTCCACAAGGAGCATGTGGTGAAGCTACACAGGTAGAAAGGTTGTACTGGAGAAGCACAGAATTGGCCTTCCAGTCACCAGAAAGAGTAGTTTGCCGAACCAATGACCTCTTGAGCTTTCCAGAGGTGGTCTTGGGAGTAAGCCCAACCTTGAGAATGAGCACCTCACGCACAGTCAGTCCATGCATTTGAGCAACATGATTGGATATCTTGACAGCTAAGTCATCATTTGCTGCCTTGTCAAAGTCCTTACGAGCCTCAGCTGTGAGTCCAATACCATCATCTCCGTGTTGGAAGGCCGTGGTCCTCCCAGGTCGGATAACGTCACCAAAAGATTCATCAATGGAAAGCTCAACATCAGTTGGGTAGTAGTTCTTGCCATTGACAATGATGACATCTTTGAGTCTTCCAGTGACATAAAGTTGTCCATCCACAATCTTGCCCAGATCACCAGTGTCAAGCCAGGTACCCTCATAATTGGGAAGTACATTGCCAAATGTGGAGGCTGTTAGCTCTTTCTGGCCATAGTAGCCAGCAGCAACTCGAGGTGACTGGGCCCAGATACTCCCAACCATACCATCTTCCACCTCCTTTCCATCCTCAACAATCCGGAGCTTGAGGGTTTCGGAGTCAACCTCGCCACAGGCGACGTGGCCCTCAGCATCAGAGTAGCCAGGTCCACCAGTTAGGTATACTACAGATTCAGCAAGGCCATAGATGTTGTAGACATGTTCAGGCCTCATCTTCACTGTGTTTGCGAGTTCTTTTACCACATGGTTCTGAGCAGGCTCACCACCAAACATGGCACGTCGCACACAACTCCAATCAGAACTTCTTTTTTCTTGCCTCAAACGCTTGAGGAGCAAGGCATAGGCAAAGTTGGGGCCACAGGTCAGGTTGGCCTGGTAGGTCTCTATCATGTCAGCCCACAACAGAGGCCTAACAACAAAGTCAAGAGGTGATGCCATAACCAGATGGGTGCCATGATACAAGGAAGTCAAAAAGCCAGCCACAAGTCCCATGTCTGAGTAGACACCATCAGAAAGTGAGATACATCAGTGCCAGTATTGGAACATGAATACTGGTCAACACTCAATGATTCTTACCATGGTATTGGGGTACCCATAATGCTGCCACCGTGGAGCTCGCATTGGAAGAAATTACATATGACATGTTACCAATGGCCCTGCAGTTCTCTACAAGATTCCGGTGGCTGATCATGACTCCTTTGGGCCGGCCAGTGCTCCCAGATGTGTACTGGATAAAGCAGATACCATCTGGGTGGCCCACAAATGTTTCATAGCCTTTTGGCTTACCATGCTTTTGTTTCTTAATTGGCAACTTGTCTGTGCCAATCCACTTGACCCCAGTCTTGTAAAAGACCCCAGCAGCAGTCATGGCTGTGGCAAAGGCGGTAGTGGTTAGAGCAAATTTGGCTCCAGCATCCTCTGCAAATCCACGGAATTTGGGCATGTCTGTTTTGAGCTGATTAGGATTGGGTGGGTAGATGCTGCAAGGGATGACTCCAATCTTCATGGCCCCAAACATGCCAGCCAAGAACTCAAGCCCAAATGGATAAGCAATCATGACACGATCTCCTGTTTGGCACCCCAACTTGAGGAGTCGAGCAGCCACAGCATTGGCCTCATCTTCTAGCTGCTGGAAGGTCAGCTTGTTTTGTTCCTGGCATTTGATGTCCACCCAAGTATAAAGGACCTTGTCGGGAGTCTTGGCTGAGTGGTGGGCCAAGGCTTCCAAAATGGTGGAGAAGAATTCCATTGTTCCTCCCTGTTGACGATGGCAACTAGTGTCAGCAGGTTGTTGCGTTTCCGTCTCGCTCTCTCTCTCTTGACGAGCCAAACAAATAGTCCGATGCTGGTTGGGTGCTGGTGTACTGGTTCCCCGTTCCTTCTTGTTGGCAAAGGTTCACGATTTGCTGAGGATGAGCTCGAGATCTCGAAGAATATAATACACCAGGAAGGGTTGTTTCAAGGTAGGTGATTTCCGACCGCGTCTATGTCATAAGGTCCCATAAAAACGGGCCTACCAGGTACACGGGCGTTGTGGTTCTGCAACTAACTAAGGAAATGCACCCATCAAAACCTCAGAGCGAGCGTTTCGCCGCGTGGAGCGCCGTGTAACTTTGCTGCATATACTCAATTGTGGCGAACCCTCATAAGTACATCATTGGACATAGTATAAGGGCAGAACACGATCCGTTATCATATATCCCACATACAGCTATCCCACTATCCCACGGTACAAGCGGCAATGTGCATGCCGTTGGCGGCACATGAAAAATCTTGAGGTACGGCATCGGATTGGCCGCAGCTTGCATCCCATGCACCACCGTGGACAACGATGCCACGAATAGAGCCACGATGGTCTTTTCTGTGGGTCTTTCTGTGCTTTTGTATGTGTGGCCACGATGGTCACAGCGGCACCATTGTGACTCCCAAGAGGTTCCCATGACTGTCAAAACTCAGGAATTGATTTGGTCGCGGAAAAAGACCTTCAAAAAAGTTCAGTTCACAACATGGGACGCCAAAGCCAAGCCAAACCAAGCCACTCGAGCTGCAACCTGGCTTTATAGATCGAGCTGATACGGTAATAGCCAGATGCGCCCCATTTTAGCACCGCATTCACCGCTGAGGCGAGAAGGTCGAAGGAAGGAGATTCATGGTGTTTCTTTCTGGAGGCGACGCCTACCCCATGGGCACTGGAGATCCCTACTACCGGTATGGACCAAGATTGTGCTGGTGCCACTGGTAGCTGTTCTTCTCATCTGTATGACATTCAAATCTCACTGCCTCATGAGACAGTTGCAACAAGATCAGCCAGAAAAAGATCAGCCAGAACACAATTTCCAGCACCAGTGGGATTCTCATCAGTCACTCTGGGAGCAAGCACAGAAACTTGCTGCTGAGAATGATCTATCTCCCTACGAAACGGGAAACTATACTGCCGAATATGCCTTGACGGAATTTCTGGCGGGTCCAGCGGCTCCCTATTACGATGCACACGACAATCACAAACTCGTCTTTCCCATGGGCGACCAAAAAGAGGCCATTTGTGAATTCCAACATCATCGGAATGGATCTCATCACTTTCCACATTCCATGCAACAATTGTTGAGATGCTTTTCCTGGTGGCAAGCCAATCCACATCAAACGCCCGTCTTGCTATTCGACCGGGAAAAACTCGTCAAACAAAAAGCCAAGTTCGTACTGGGGTTCCTACGACTGTTACAAGATGCCTTTGGAGTTTCTATCGTGCGCCACAAAAACACCACAACCATTGCCAAGTCCGTCTACACGCTCACGGAAGGACGAAATCCCGTGCGACGATCCAAACGACGCGGAATTCTCAAAGACCAAAACCGCATCTACTATCAAATGAGATCGACCCAAGATGCACAGCAACTCCGACAAGGACTACTCCAACACTACCCCAATATTACGACGAGTCATGCCGGTTGTGGTTCCTCGGTTCCCAAAATTGGGATTTTGAATCGCCAGTGCAAAGACCACACCTGCAGCAAAGGGAGTGGACGACGCATTCAAAATCGTCCCGCCATTTCCAGTGCCATCAAAAAGGCACTTCTCCCACATTCCAACAACAATTCCAACAATACCAACAACAATCCTATTCACTACCTGTCGTCGTTTGATGGCATGTCCTTTTTGGAACAGGTCACATTCATGTCCAACATTGACATTCTCATTAGTCCGCATGGAGCCCAACTCACTGGCAGTGCCTTTCTGCCATCTTGTGGAGGAATTCTGGAACTCTTTCCCCGTGGCTATCACTTTCCAGACTTTTTTGGAACCTTGGCAGCGGCCACAGGACACTTTCATCGGTCCATCTACACGGGCCGCCACGCCAATCGAACCCGCGATGTGGACTACTTTTCCTCCACACCCGCCTTGCGGAAACAAACGCGGTTACAACCCGTACACGCCCATCCCCCAATGGTGGCCCTTGCCGTACGAGAGCTCATGGTGCAATGGCAATCGTGTTGTCAACAAACACGAACAACAACAACAACAACAACACAAACTACAACTGCTGCTTCAGTGGTACAACAGATCACACCACAAACTTTGTAGCATGCATCTTGTGGGAACGATCGATCGAGCACACACAACGTTTTTTGCGTGCGACCGACCCAATCCACAACGTACGACAACTTGCAATGACAACGACTGTCAGCTAATACATACGACAACTGGGGAATACACATTCGCCAAGAGACCCAGCACGAACGCCCCCCCCAAAAGCTTCCAACGCCTTCATCCAACTAACAACTAAAGTCGTACCTTTCTGGTCGCCGCTGGTGAAATTTCCAGTTGGCTGGTAACGACGATGGAATGCACCCGGCGCAAGTTGCGTAGAGGAGTGCAGCATTCCAACTTGCTAGCTCGAGCCAAACTGACGTTTCGAATAACTAACAAGAGCTCTAAGAATTACATCTACTATCCAAACAGATGACTCAGTCAGCTAAAGATCACAAGCAATCAGAAAGGTCGCGCCAAGCGTGTTATGCCTTCGCCCCTTGATGATACCTTGCTGGCCTTTTTGTCATTCCAACATGCATGTCTATGCAACAGTCAAAAATGCTAAAAAGTCGCGACGCCCGATCGATCATTTATTGAAGAGATCTTGCCTGTACTCGCACACGCCCACCGTCGACCAGGAAGCACCCGCAGTCCGGACTGCTGCAAAACGCGTCGCTGCTGATTCGACTCGTTGCGGAGCGAGCCGCAGCTTCGGAAGGTGCCTGGTCCGAAAACGACGGACTCAACACCATTTGAAACACCACTTGGTCAGTGTCAAAGTCTTCGAGATAATCCACACCAGAAGACCTCGTCACAATACTATTGTAAACATAAGTCGGGAATCGGTTCTGGAAGTTGCCGTTGTAAAAGGCCATGATGGCGTTTTGCAGTTGCTGTCAAAAAAAGAGGAAACATTACATGTGAGTGAAGTCTTTCTCGAATTGCAACGCTGATCCAAGCCAAGATATACCCATGAGACCTCAAGCGTACCTCTGGAGTTCCAACGAAGGGTTGTGGAAAGGATGACCCGCTTTCAGGTAGAATGGTAAATGTAGCACCGAAACTAACAGTGATTTCAGCGGGAGGCGTGGGAGGACTGAAGGGAGCCGCAGTTGGTGGTAACGGGTCTTCAGGGTTGGGAAGAATAAATCCGGGTAGTGGCGCATTGTCCACAACTACTCTATTCACGCAACAAACGAATTGAGGCGGACCCCTATTCTGGAGACGTGTCAGCAAGGAGCTCGTGTAGAACGGTTGTATAGGAGAATCTCCATCTGTCAGAAAGGCTTGAAGTTCAGCTGTAGTTGGGGCAGTCTCCTCGGACGAGTACTCTGAAATCATGTCCATGTACCAAAAGTAGCCAAACCCTGTTTCAGACGGACCCTGTACGAAACCCAGAGGCGGGGGGTCTAGGGCGCGGCTCGAGCTGTCTTGAATAAACCCACTACTAAGCAATTCACGATACGGAGCCTCAAGCCAATCCACTATGATGCCTTCCACTTCCTGCAATCAACAAGACAAAAAAAGAAACAGGCATGATCAGATGTACGAAGTGAGGACCAATCGATAGCGAAACACAAATGCTGACAAAACGTACCAATCTCTCAGCGTTTGTGATTACAGCGGGTGGAGTTCCGGGAATAATGAAGAAAGAAAATCTAGCTCTGGCTCTTCTCTCAACACCTGTGACCAAGGGCGATGTTGGGGATTGGCTGGGTGAAGTACTTGGAGAAGAGCTGGGTGCAGTGGACGTTGTCGGTGCGCTCGTGTCCGAGTTCGACCCTGAAGGGCGTGGTGATGGTGCCCTGGACACTGTTGGTGCACTTGTTGCTCCTGGGGCTGGTGACGGTGCACGGGTTGGGAATCTGGTTGGGGATTGTGTGGTCGTGGCAGGTGCATTTGACGGGGAGGATGAAACTGACGGGGAGGGTGACGGGGCTTGGGAAAGGGATGGCGCTGGCGAAACTGTAGGAGCACATGAATAGCAGAATGGGCCGGCCATATTGAACCTGTCTGGGTCTTGTGTGGTAGGGCAGGAAGTGCCAGCAAAAGTTTGGTCATAAAGGGTCCAGCTTGGGAGATCATCCAGCCAGGCGCATAGGTTCTGGTTGAAACTGCTCGCGCCATCAAACATTCGTCTCGCTCCTGCTAGGTTAGAAACTTGCCATCCCGAGATGTCTTGATTAAAGCTGTCGTTTGAACAGAACATACAGTCACTCGCAGCCACAGAGCTCACATCCCAGTTACCAATGTCCCTATTAAACACACTCTCATCACCAAACATAAAGACCATCGAAGTTACTGACCCAACGTTCCAGTTACTCAAGTCAGAGTTGAAGACTTCATTTTCCTCAAACCTACATGGGACCGGTACCAAACAGGCTCAGATAAGTTCAAGTTCTGCACGCCGAGTATCCAATAAGAAGCATAGACAAGATTCTTACATGGAATCCATGATTTCAACGCTGCTGACGTCCCAGGCACTGATGTCCCCAGCAAACAAGGCACGGTAAAACTGATGATGCAAAATGAGAAGAACAACCAAGAAGATGCCATGTGAGCATCCAGTTGATGCCTTTTGAAACACATTCACCAAATACTCTCGTATGCCTCACCAGAAGTTGCATGTTTGTTACCGACGACGTATCCCACCCACTTATATCACCCTCAAAGGATGCTCCATAGAACAGTTGAAGCATGTCCTGCACATTGCTTACATCCCAGGAACCAATCTCTGGCTGAAACTCTGACATCTTGAACGTTGACTTCATGCTCGTTACCGCTGAGACGTCCCATTGATTCAGGTCAAATGAACGCCCGTTGTAGCCCAGAAAGACCTCATCCAAACTAGTCACACGCGAAACATCCCAGACTCCCATGGGATAGCCATACTGTTGGTAGACATGTTCGTTCACCTCACATGAATCACAAGACTCATCAAAGGCTGCATTTGCCGCAAGGACTGCACTTCTTAATTCTTCTGTGCTGGTAAAGAACTGTGTGGTATCTGTTGGCTGGCTTGTTGTTGGTGAAGCAGATGGAGACGTTGTTGGTACCGCCGACGGCTTTGGAGATGCGGTTGGTGGAAGTTCATCACAGCAAACCAATTCAGGAGTATCACAGTCGGCAGTAAATATGGCAAAGTCAATTGCACAGATACTGGCAGGAATCGTCCCTGTCAATTGATTGTCTGCCAAGTACAAGCCAATTAGATCTGGCAGACCTCCTAACTCAGGAGGGACGGTACCTCTCAACATATTTCCAAACATACTCAGGTGTGTCGCTGCCGTCAATGCTCCCAAGTCTACAACAAAGGAGTCCATCACAGAAAGGAATGGTGAAATTGAGTCCTCTCGGAGTGACGTGCCTCAGAAACAGCCAAGATTATGAATCCTACCTGTTGGAATGGTCCCTGTCAACAAGTTTTCCCATAGGTTCAAATTTAGGAGTAGGGTCAGGTCTCCAATCTCTGTTGGGATTGAGTACATGTACAGCACAGAAAGGAGTGAGATTTAGTCCTCTCGGAGTCACATGCCTCAGAAACAGCCAATATTATGAATCCTACCTGTTGGGATGGTTCCGGTGAAAAAATTGCCACCGAGAAACAAGAATTCCAGGGATGTCACGAGCCCCACCTCGGTTGGAATTATTCCGCCAGTCTCCAAAGAAGTAAGGTCAATGATAGTCGTTGTGCTTGTACTATAGTTCCGGCCCCACAATTCCACTTGGTCAATGGGGACATTGGATGGCGGTCCTGTGGGCACCATGGTGCTCGGGGCTATTGTGATTGGTGCCGTTTCGCAGTTGAAGCAGAAGGGGCCTTCAATGTTCATGCCATCGGGGTCTGATTGAACTGGGCATGATGTGCCAACAAAGGTTCTATCGTACAATGTCCAGCTTGGCAGATGATCCCTCCAGTCACATAGAGTTTGGTTGAATGATGCCGCATTTTCAAAGGTCGACCTGGCAGTTACTAGGCTGGACACATCCCATGCAGAAATGTCCTGGTTGAAAGCAGGGTTGTCAAGAAACATAGCTAGATGAGAGACAGAAACCAGTGGTGAGACATCAACAAAGGAGTACATCACAGAAAGCAGGGTTGAAAAGAACATACCATCCATGTCCAAGACAGAACTAACATCCCAGCCTACGATGTTCGGGTTGAAGCTGCTTTCGGTGAACATTGTTCGCATGGTGGTGACAGCACCAACATTCCATAAGCTAATGTCCCCGTTGAATGAAGAGTCTTCAAACCTGTAATTTAGCAATTGAAATTTGGCGTGTTTGAGATCACTGACGTCGAGGCTTGGATTGTGCCACGCTATCTTCATCTTACATCCTGCTCATGCTCTTGCAATTGCTCACGTCCCATGTAGAAATATCGCCATTGAATGCCGTCGTTCCACGGAACTTTGGATGTAAGAAAAGACTGAATGAGTGATTGTACGGATGCACTTGAGCACACAAGTTGCAGCTAATCCCTGTGTTTTCTTTGACTTACCATTCCACTCATGTCAGTCACCAACGAAACTTGCCACAAACTGATGTCCCCTGCAAATGAAGCCCGGTTGAACGTGCTCCGCATGTTCACTACTCTGCGAACATCCCATGTAGCAACACCGAACTGAGCTTCAGTCTGCTGAAATGTTGCTACTCAAATAGTTGTTGAAGGGAAAAGGTGCAAAGGGTGAGATATCCATGAGACTTACTCGTGAAGGCTGCACTGCTATGCTGAGCTTACCTAGCATACTCGTAACCCTGGAGACATCCCATCCATTCAAGTTTGCATCCACACCATCATAAAAGAGGAACAGATAGTCAAGACTATCCAGAAGTGAAACGTTCCATGAACCCATGGGGAAACCATACTCCAGGTAAACATGCGATGTTGGATCAAGTCCAGCAGCATTTACCGCAATGACTGCAGTGCGCAGCTCTAGGGTTGTTTCAAAGGCCTTGAAATCACGCGAAGGCATGGGTGTAGGAAACCGAGTTGGATTGCGGGTTGGTGTGCGTGTGGGGTTGCGGGTTGGTGTGGGAGTGGGGTTTCCTGTGGGGTTTCGCGTGGGGTTTCGCGTGGGGTTTCGAGTAGGGTTGCGGGTTGGTGTACGAGTTGGAGTTCGAGTGGGATTGCGGGTTGGAGGTCCTGTGGGAGCAGTTGTTGGAGCAGCCGTGGGTCGACAGGCGGAAATAACTTGACCATTAGCTGCCATACAGAACTCGTCTGGAACTTCAACATTAGTGTCCTGAACGGATACTTCTTCGAGACTTGTAATTTGCAGAAGTTCTGACGGCAGCGTACCGTTGAGGTCTTGATTGCTGTCCACCCAAAGTCTCTCCAAACCTGTGTCTGTTGAACCATCGTCTTGTAGGCGGCGTGCGGCCGCTCCGAAACCTTTAATCAAACCCAACTCGGATGGGATGGAACCAGTCAACTATGTAGCATCATTGCACAGCGAACAGCAGCATGAGACGTCCATTTATGGGTCCAATCTCCTGAATGAATCATGAAATCAATAACACCAAATAACTTACTGTGTTGTTTCTCAGTAGAATATCCCTCAAGCCCCTGGCTTGGCCCAATTCAGTCGGGATTCTCCTTTCAATCAAGTTGTTGTTCAGCACCTGTGAAGAATAACATTGAAAGAAAGAAAAGGTAAGACAAGGGTTGGTTGTGTTGGCATCAGCAAGATGGATCAAACTAACTACAAATGGGTAACACACCAGGAAGTTCAGGTTTTTGTTCAGGCCAACTTCTGTTGGGATGTTCCCCCTGATGATATTAGTTTCCGCATTGAGATTCTTCAGATTTGACATGGAGACCAGTTGCGAAGGCAGCGCGCCAGTCAGAGTGTTTTCCTTTACGTTGAGTATTTCCAGCTTTGTTGCTGAAGCCAATGTAGTTGGAATGGAGTTCGTGAGGAGGTTGTTTCCAGCAGTGAACGTGGTCAGTTCTCTTAGGTTGCCATATTCGTCTGGAATGCTTGAAGCGATGTTGTTGGAATCCACCGAAAGCTCCCGCAATGCAACCAAGTTGGCAAGATCGGAAGGCAATGCCCCAGTCACTTCATTGTTACTGATATTGAGGTATTCCAGGGTGGTGATTCCACCTATTTCGGTTGGGATGCTCTCATCAATCTGGTTCGATTCTACCGCAAGCTCCCGCAGAGAAACCAAGCCACCAAGCTCAGTGGGCAGGACCCCCGTCACCTCGTTGTTGCTGATGTTGAGATGTTCCAGATTCCCAAGCCCTGCTACTTCTGTTGGTATAGTCGAAGTGAACGTGTTGTCGCCCAACGACAGAACCCTCAAGTCAACAAGATTAGATACGTCAGCTGGCAGGACACCAGAAACCTCATTGTCGCTGATGTTCAAAATCTGAAGGCTGGTCAAGTTTCCGATTGGAGGTAGTGTATCATTCAGGAAGTTGTTACCAGCAGAAAGTGTTCTCAACTGATTTAGACTGCCAACCTCAGATGGGATACTACCCCCAATGTTGTTGGACTCGACGTCCAACTCACTCAAAGCAACCAAGCCTCCGATTTCCGTGGGCAGAACACCCGAAAAGTCGTTCGAGCTCGCGTTTAGGTAAGACAAACCCCTGAGCATTCCAGTCTGTGTCGGGATGGTACCGTTCAGGTTGTTGTCCTCGACCCCAAGTTCGACCAGTCCAACGAGATTGTCCAAATCGTCGGGAAGGACTCCAGAGAACTCGTTGCTGCCCAATTGCAGGAACTGGAGACTAGAACAGTGAAAAGGGACAAGGACCGTTAACACACACAGGAGAACATGAGCGGCATGGGTCATTCCATTGCATATATCTGATCCCTAGCTACTGTTTGCAACGTACCTTGATTGAGTTGAGATTCCCGATGGGATGGAACCGACCAAGTTGTTGGAAGTGAGGGCAAATCGAGATAGACTGCTCAAGCTGGTTAGCTCCGGTGGAAGGTTTCCAACTAGATTATTCGCAGCCAGATTCAAGGTTTGGAGACCGGCAGCAGACGAGATGGCAGAAGGGATTTCACCACCAATATCGTTAAAGCTGAGCTCAAGCTGCCGAAGCATCGATAGGGTGCCCACAGTATTCGAAATCGATCCACTCAGGCCATTTGCACTGAGAGTCAAGCCGATGTAGTTGCCCTGAGCATCGCACACGTCTGCAGGGTTTCCGGTTGTAAACCACTGGCACTCGGGTACAGTGTAACTCAGCCAGTTGTCCTTGCGCATCCATGTTGTTTCCCCTCCACTTGCAAAATAGAATGTCACTAGAGCAAGCCTCTGGTCCGATGGAGTTGGATCTGATGCCTGCCACTGACTCGCCAACTGCTCCGGCGTCATGTCTTGAAGTTTGCGAGTTTGATCCGTCAGCTTGGCAGACAACGCTTTTCCGTCCAGCAAACCGTTGGGGGGAGAATGTACCTCCGCTAGTGTTAGGAATGGCGTGTCATTCTCCGATTGGGTTGGGTCAATAGTATTTCTCAAGGGCTGCAAAAAGTTCCCATTGCAACTACCAGCGAGGCTGAGCCCCGCCAGGAAGACCCAAACGGGCCCAAAAGAGTTGATCACTCTCATGGTCGGATTCAGGGATAGACCGCTGTCTGTGGGGGTTGGTTTGGAAACGTAGTCAGCAAACTCTACAACTGCCGACAACTACTTCACAGGTGACTATTGCTTTGCTAGTCGAATATAGATGTCGCTCTTTCAACAGAAGAGTCGAGTTACAGGATTCTGTCAAAACTGAAGGGAGAATGAAAGATAGTGTAGAAAGTTATCCGTCTCTGTCTAGTAGCATTTCAGTTGCTGCTGTTCTTGTTGCCAACGTTGCTTTCAAAGCAAAAGCGACCAACGCCGAGTAACAAGAGTCCTGATTCTTGAGAGATCAACGTTCGACATGAAGGACGGGCCCGGCCTTGGTTTGGGAAGCGCATTGGCTGCTAATTTCGGCCAAAACTTGCTTCCAGACTTGCTTCCATTCTTGTGGGAAGAACGAAATTTTCATTCAAACTGTACACGCACAAGGCTAAAAATCATTCTTTCCGGAAAGGGCCTACTGGTATCCACAACAACAAGAACACGTCCTTCCGCAGAATAAAAAAATTTCTGCTTTTTGAAAATTTGGCATTCGCTTGCCAAAAATTTTGGGGTCTGGCCACAGATCCCCAAGTCAGGTCCTCACTGGCTTCCGCAGATAACCTCCCTACTCCCGACTTGGTAGATAGACCAGACCTACTCTAAAACCCCCGTACACCACACCCACCATCACATCAAAGGGTTTTGGAGTACTAGTAGTCTCCGTTGTCCCAGCGCATTTGACTTCAAGCAAAGCAAATGCGATACAGTAGATGTCAGCACCGGAATCTTGCAAGGTACAGTACGGGTACATGAATCTTGCATTCGCTATCTAGCTATTAAATTAGTCCCATCGTGCATGACATTCTTCAAAGCTTGGATGTAGTCGTCAATCAAGCAAAGAATAGATTGTATTTCTTTGTACCGGTACGTGCGAGCAATCTATCAGTAGCTAGCCCGTATGCCTGCAGCAACTTTCAAGGACTCTGAAAGCATTTGCCGTCATCATTGTAGTTCGCTCAAACATCAATATATGTCATTTGCAGCTATAGGGAGTAGCATATTATGGCGCTTGCTGTCTGGCCACTCTTCTTTTTGAACGGGAAGACTCTCGTTCTTTCCGCTCTTCCTGAGTGGCCCAGTTCTGGGCGTCCAAACAGCCTTGCTCGTACAAGTCATGGAGTTCCTTACTTGTTGCCCCCTGGGTGGCCAGTCGAACCAAGCGCACAGCTTGCGCCGCAAAATTCTCCTCCAGTACTGGGCCAATCTGATCCTTCTTGGGGGTAGTGGTCAAGCTCAAAAACTCGGTAGGAAAGACCGATACCATGACTGTGCGATCCACTACTTTCTTGGATTCTTGATTGGAACTATTGGTTGTCGTTGTTGTTTCACAGCACTGTTCAAAGTCAGGACATCCAATTCGTTCTGCCGAACAGGCAAAGAGTCCGTCCACGACCATGCGGGGGAGAATCCGGCCCTTTCGTCGCACCATTCGGATTGGTTTGTTGGTTAAAAAGTACGGAAACATGGACGAGTCGCAGACGGCATCCATGAGGCTTTGACGGGTTTCGAAATGCGTCTGCAAGATGGGTCGGTTGCGAGGAAACAGCTCTCGATGGGCCAATGCCACAATGCCCTCTCGTTCGTTGCACAGCTCGTGAGCTTCCATGGGCAACAAGTGGTTCATTTCGTTTCGTAGTGCCGGTAGCAGACTACCACTGGGAACAAAGAGGGGATTGCCCAACAGCATTCCCGAGATTCGAGTGGATGCTTCCAGTGCCATCAAAGATGGGACACCCGATGCATGGGCTGACACGGCAATGGCTCCCGCCGAGGAACCGGCCAGAGGAGTGGAATCTTGAATGTGTCCATAATCCGATAAAGACTTCAAGACTCCCAAGTGATACGGCAGCAGCAAACCACCGGGCGATAGAGAAAATCCAATCTTCATGGTCCAACAGCTATTGACAAAGGAGTAGTACTAGTAAGGCATGCATCAAGTAAAGGCAAAGGCATGTTGACAGATGATGAATCAAGACGAAGTTTCGACTGATTACTTTTCTTGACAGCCGGTGTCAATGGCGTGACGTCAGAACCAGATCTTCTCATTCGTGGATACTGCACCGGTACTTTCATCCATCCGCTTTCACGAGAAGCCAGAGTGCAAGCCACATCCAGGGAGCTACTCATGGAATAAAATGAAACTTTATTTAAAAACAATCGTTACAACACACAACAAGTTAACTCTACTAGCTGCATGTAGCTGTGCACTGGAAAAGTTCTAATGCATTTCCACAACGTAGGCATGCCCACGTCCCGCTGCCATGACATCCAAAGGGTCCTCCATGTCGGGAAGCTCATCAAAGTTTGGCACGTTTACACATTCGGACGATTCCTCACCGACCTCTTCTTCTTCCTCTTCCATGGTATCTCGTCGATTGATAAAGACGTGCGTGGGTGGTGGCACTAAATGTGCGTACACGGGAGGACACACCAGTCCTACGACAAAGACTCCCGCCGCCACTCCAAAGAGTGCAATGCCCGCAATTTGAAACGGCTCCAGAGGGTAATTGCCATAGTTACCAAACGCCATGGTCGTCATCAGATATGCTCCGTCTGTATCCTCTGACGGTAATCCAATCATCATCAAGAGTCGCTTCAGAAAGACCAAAAGAAGCAAATGGGGAACCACTCGTTTCAAAAAAATGTACCATACTTGTGGCAACTGACAACCACTGCCACCCATGGACGCTTCCAAATTCCGTTTGAGAGCCTCCACGTTTCCAAAGGAGAATTCGAGGTAGTAATCACGAGGATGTAGAATGCGTTCACTGGAACCACTGCTGTTGTTCGTATGACTGCTGTTGAGACATCGTGCGACGTAGAATTCGTAGGATCGTCGAATGGAGACAAACGCCAGCATGAAAAACAAGAGAAAGACCATCAATCCCCCAAAGAGTCCTATCCACATGCGATGATACTGTTCATCGACATCCAAAATATTGTCGCTATCGAGTCCAAACCAAACCCCGGCCGCAACCACGACGGGAGCAAAGTTCCATAGAATGGAAAAGATCACTGGCAAGATGCCATAACTCCGAATCTGATCTTCCATATTGTACATCCACCCAGCCGCAAAAGATTCCAAGAATCCCACCAGCAAGAGGCACAATGTCATATCTGCATATGTAGTGTCGAGAAGAAAAAGCCAGAGAGTTAGAGACTGCACTTTCAAACGTCAGAGATTGCGTGTCTATGGATCGCTTACAGTAGTCCATGGTATCGAGAAAGATGAGCCCCGCATCCGTGCAAAAGACGAGCGACACGGAGAATCCCACCAGACAGGACACGAGCGCAATTTTCCACCTGACACAAAAGACATTTTTTCGTTAGCTTTCTTTTTCGTTCATACATGTTTGTTGCTTCGAACTGTATCATACAAATCAATAATACATACCTGGCCACTGCGGATGTTCGATCCTCTCGAAGGACGGTAAGAATAGAAGTCACCACGGCAATGGGGAACTGAATCCCCATCATTAATAGGCACGTGTACAAGAGTCGGACCCATGCCATTCCACCGGGCAATGTCAAGAGTGCGGCGGGCCAATGGCAAAAGACGAGACGAAGACTGTGATTCCAAATGGTATTGGCATAAAAGGGAAGTGGAGGAGTGGGAATGGCTTTGGAAAGGACATAGCCCGTCGTAAAGACCAACAGGACGTTGATGGCCGTAATGAGACAGGCAATCTTGGCAAAGGGTTGTTGTTGTGGTGGTGTGGAGGAGGATGTTGTGCCACTATTTGTATTGGATGGTCCGCTATTATAGCTGGAATAGGCAGATTGTATCCCCAGAAGAATGCCGGTAATGTAGAGTGTTTGCACAATGCTCTCGGATAGTACGTCATCCTGATCCATGGAGGATGCAAAGTCTTCCCACATGGATGACTTGGTGGTATAGTCTTCATCAGTGTTGTCGTGTGTGATGGTTAAGGATCCTACAAATACTGCAATAAGGAGTATCAGGGAAGTGGTGGTAATGAGGAAACTGATGCGGCCTAATTGTCGAATGCCCAAGGATGTAATGACGGCTACAATTGCCCAGAGTACTCCGCAAGTTGCCACATTTTCGTAAACGAGCCGTGTGGGTTGTAGAAAGTACCGTTCGGATGTGAGGGAGAGAGAATGCTGTCCCACCACTTGATCTACCCAGTAAATCTCTACCGCTTGTTGTCGATCTGATAACGAGTGATTGTTTTGGGCAATGTGTGTCCATGGATTGTTTGTATCTGTTGCTTGCTGTTGTCCACTGAGCATAAGCAGATTGACACCAAAGGTATCCAACAAGGCATGGAGCGTCCATGCGAGAATTCCCATACAAAAACAGGCGTAGACCAATCCCAATAGCATTCCCGCAACACCCAGTCCGGTCCATCGTCGTTGTTTTTTGGCAGTACCAAAATGAGGCAATTGCCAAATGCCAACGGCACCGACTTGATACTTGTGTCCCCAGCCCAGCTCCAACAAATACAACGGCAAGCCAATCACGCACATGGCCAATAAGAGACCTGCCAAGCTCGCGTACACACTCAGGCTGCCTCCCAACATGGCAGCACCTCGCCACAGTTGACTTAGCGGAATGCTCAGGAGAGCTCCACACGTATAGGTTAATTGACTGGACCATTCTGGCCGTTCCTTGTCATGTCGTCGCACCACCGAACTGCTATTATTAATATTATTATTGTTGTAGTCCAGCACTACAGGGGCACCGTCATCTTGTATGCTGCTACTAGATCTAGTAGAAGGCTCTATGGCTGGAAGCGGCGGCTCTAGAGGGCCCTGTACCGGTAAGAGTTCGACGGGGGTCGTCATGGTCGGCGTCTTCAATTTGTGGGTCGGTGCTCTTTGTGGAGGACGGTTTGAAAGAACCGGTGGTGGGAGTATGCCTTCCAATTTGAATTGTGAAATGCCGACCGCTTGGGGTGAATTGAGTCACATCACAAGATACCATTCAGTCCCACAACAGAACGCTCACTTTGCTTCGTTCATCGCAAACAACGGTTGCTCCCACCTTACTGGCTGGTAGCGAGCTAGCACTACTAGCTAGCTAGCTGTAGAAAGATTCTGGGTAATAAGATCCCAACATCCTCCTCCACTCGTGCCAAAACGAGCCAAATGTTCATGTGACTTTAGAAGCCCCCTCTGGCGGCTACCGTAAGCAGGGCTGGATGTATCCAAAAAAGATTGAATTCGATGAGATCAAGAAACCTTCCCTGTTACTGGATCGGATGTAGAACATGATTTGGGAATACCGTACTTGTACCTGGTGCCAGGTGTGGTGTCTCCTGTTACTTGGATCCCTCAGCCGCAGAATCGAATCAGGCAGGAGCAGGAGCAGGAGCCAAATGTCATGAACAAATGCTGCATACCGTATGCGTTCTGGCTACTTTCGTCCTCGCTCGATTGAAACTTGATAGTCTATATAATTATGATATTAAGTATGTAACTTATCCTAAAATACCCGTAGGCAACTAGCCAGGTCGTTGATCTTCCTGACAACAACGCGACGCTACAGCCCTAGCTAGCTGTTGTATCATCAGCTCGCTTGCTTGCTTACTTCTCCCTCCTTTACTCATCAGCAGGTGCAGGACAACCAACATCTACGTCAAGCGAGGCCAGTTCCGCCAATGCTTCTTCCAGAGTGATTGGAATACCATGTGTAGAAACAATAGTCAAGGGAACATCGGAAGTGCAATTAGCTGTAAGGATGCTGTGGTCGCGCATTGCGTCAAACAAGTGTTGTGGGCCGTTCAATGTAATGGTACCGCCAAAGCCACCATTGTACAGATCGGCTTGATACAGGATTCGAGTGGCGTTGACATCCACCGTGAAAATCATCATGTCCTCGGCGTGTTCGGCGCGGCTGGTGTGATAGGCCGTCACCACCATGCCGTCGGCATCCAAAAGCACTTGTTCCTGGTCAAATTCCACCGTGACAATGTCATAGTTCGTCACATTGGCAGTTTCCACAGAGTCTGGAATTATACTGTGCTGGGCGATCATCACGTCCAACCAGAACTCGGTGGTGCCGTCTCCAATCACGAGCGTCACATCCTCTACTGCACCCAGGTATTCTCGGACTCCACTAGAATGATCAAAGTGAAAGTGAGTCTGCAACACATGTGTCGGGCTCTTTCCAGGAAAGAGCTCTCCCGCAGCTTGCAACAAGAGTTGGGTCTGGAACTGGCTACCGAAACCTTCCAACACAATCAAGCCATCGGCATGCTCCACAACCAGCGAAGCGGAGGTTCCTGCGTTCATCCACGTGACACCAGGAGCCAGCTCTTGAGGGTCACTGTAAGCGACCCTCCAGGGGAACCAGAATCCAGTCATGTCGAATGTGTCAAACAAGAGAGAGTTGGCGAGACCGTAGTAAAAGGCGAATGCGTCAAAGCTATCCGGATCCACGCTGCCACTGAATTCAAACATGGACATGTCCACATCCGCAGGTGTCATGACGGAATCGCGTCGTTCGTCCCAGACAACTTTTCCGTTTTGATTGGAGATTCGAACCCTTCGTGGGAACAGCAGAGGGGAGGGTCCTTCGCTCTCAATCACCCAGTTAAAGTATCGAAAGGTAACTCTTCGATCACCCACCAATGGGTGGGCCTGGCGAGTTGTCACCTTGTTGATGAATCCTGTAATAGTATGGTACAGGGTAACACAGAGTGAGGAATCATAAGCAAGCATCATCCGGTCATGTCCGATTCTTAAACGCGTGCATAAAACTAACATACCTGAAGTTGTGTTGACGAACATGGTGATGGGCCAGATATCATCAGGGTCAGGAACAATGAGCATGGCATTATCGTTTCGGTCCAATCCAGCATAGGTGATATTTTCAAAGACATCATTGGCAAGGATGTAGACTAGGAGGACATGAGGGTTTTGGAACACCAGCTGATGGGACAAGGCAGCCACAGATTCAGATGGCATGGTCCCATTCGGTACGAACATTTTTGATCCAATCTGTTCCCCAATCGTTTGTTGCATGATGCGGGTAGTGAAGCTTGGCGGGAAGAACTGAAGGGCTTCGAACTCATGCACCGTGAGTTCGTCGATTCGGACGTTCCCTTCAAACAAGTCAATCGTGTAGTTTCGTTCAAACGAAGCAGCATTGCCAACTTCATCAGGGGTGGTGTCTTCGTACTCAATTTCAGCCTCTCCAGTGGTCATGACTTGAAGGAATCGCATATTCAAAAGGGCGTCGGCACCTCCAAGCGTGTTGGTCACAAGTTCAAGGATGTTCGCGACAGGATCCTCGATATCGCCAGGGTCTGTAGTAGCGGGAGGGTCTGTATCGGGAGCAAATGGGTCCTCACCAGTCGGAGGTTCGTCTGGAGACGTTTCGTCTGGAGTTTCGTCTTGAGAATCTTCATGGGGCATTGCCCACGTTGCTGCTCCATCGGCAGAGTTTTCTTCAGGGAATTCTCCCAAGGAGCCCTCGCCTTCGGCTACGGTCGACAATGGCATCATAACTCCAGCCATGGCGACATAGAGGGAGGTCACGAAGAGGGGAGCGACCTTCATGGTATATATACTTCTTTTAACTAAGCTTGGAACAGGGGTCAGCAGAGGCTAATGGGAAAGGATTTGTGGATTGTGGTTCCGAGCAACTCGGCAGCTACAGTCGACTCTTCCCAGACCTTTTTGGCTTCCAAGCACAAAGGGTCGCAATGTTTGTTGGATGCACCATCAAACCGTCCAATTTCTTTGTCAGGCAGCTCTTCAGAAGCATATTTTGTGGATCGCTGACCTTTTTGGGAGGGCCAACACCAAATTTGTTCGGCGATCAATGGGATGCGGGATCCTTTCTTTTGGCAGCATTGGGAATGTTCTCAGGTAGCTGCGGTAAAATAGTTTCTGCAATCAAATATTGATAGTAACAATTGACATTAACCCTATATTTACCTGAACTACCTAAACTACCAGCACAAAAGTGAGAATACCAAGCCAACTAAGCTGGGAGTCACAGTCTTCAGGACTCAAAACGGTTCGAAAACTCCTCGGCTGCAAGAGCCACTGCAAGTGCTTTTGCTGTACGGACTGGCCCTCCGGTGCAGATTCATTTGACATTTCCAAATTCGTTTTGTCCAAACCAAAATCAAAAGCGGTCATTGCTAACAGAAATGGTCATTTCGCGAATCCTGCATTGAAACCAATGGTTCCCAAAGGAAAAGATTGAAGCAAATAAAATGAATTTTATCACCATGGCAACAGTGTTGACCAAATGGCTATTAGCTTTACCAATACCTTGAGATAGCAAATCCTTTTCTAGAACTGGCTCCCCAACACACTCACAGAGCCACCCCTCAAAAAGGATTTGCTATCTCCAAGCTTTCCTATGGAGCTTCTATGAAAAATCAGGCTTGGATATCATTTTGTTGTCATTCTGCCATGGATTTCTCCATGGGAAAGGTGCTCCTGTTCTCACTCTCAGCACTCAATCTGCACTGTAGAGTCTATTAGAGGACTGGGTGGCTTTGCATGAAGACTGGAGCACTCAACTCAAAGATTCAATGGAGAATTGTTGGCTTGAGCCAGGAAAATGGAGGAGATTTCATGTTTGTATTTTGTATTCAGTTGACAGTCAAAGCAGTAGTAGAGGAGCTGCCGCTTGTTGCTTTTGTAGTGTCACTAGCAGACGCTTCACGGCCGCTTCGCGGAAGAGGAGGTGTCATGGTCGCTCCGTGGCAGTCTGCAGCCACCGACCGAATGATTGAATCGAATCGACCAGTCATAAGCGATCCGTCGAACGGAAGCAGTTCCTTCCAGTGCCATTGTCGATCGAGGCGTCGCTTGCATTAGTAGTAGCTGCTTGTTGCAGACTTCGCTCCCTGGAGGCGTCATGGTCGCTCCGATAAGAAGGTCGCTCCGAGGAAAAAGAATTCATCGAATCGATCCATCGAACGGAAGCAGTCAACGACCGAACGGCGAACGGCTGCCGCTGCCGCTAACCAAACAAGAGGAGCTTGTCATGGTGGTGAGTAGTAGCCTTTGTTGAGAGGAGTAGCCGCTGTAGAGGAGATAGCATCATCTTGATAGAGTGGATCATAGACCACAATAATGAAAAAGAAGAGCACACGAGTGGCTGGGAGCCACCGTTTATTTCTCTAAGTCTTTTATGAGTAAATTAAGTCTTTTAGTCCTGATGTAAGGTTCGCATTCGAATGTCCTAGCGGAACCGTGCTTGCGTTTGTGTCAATAGCTTCGATACAGCCTGTACAGTATTCATTGATTCATCTGAGGTGGATGCGGTAAAATGGTATCTTTACTCAAATACATGTACTTTTAAAAAGTAGTAATAGCACTAACCCTATAATTACCACAACTATCGATCACGTCGGTACAAAATCGATGAATTGTCTTTTCAGGCCTGGCCGTGGTACACGTGTAGGTGCGAAAACACTTTATGGCTGCAATTGGGTCTGCTACAAGCAAGTGTTTTTGCTGTATTCATTGATTCGATTCATCTGGACTCCGAGAAGAAGATGATGGGTGGCTTGACTATTGGCATAACAACTAGAACATCTCTACCTCTGTCATTGATAGTACTGCTGATACTGTTGCGTAATGGCGTAGCATTCAGTCGATCAGCAGTTCCCACTGCAAGAAAGTCAGCTTTCCCGCCACCATCAGCTTTGCTGTCACCTTCATCCTCAATGAGATTCCAACAAAACCCTATCGTGCGTCTTCAGCAACAGCAGCAGTCTTCCATCGATGGCAGTGAGAACTCCTCCATTGTCATTCCTGCCTGGACCTACCGCCTGAATGCTTCCACCAAGTGGCTCGTAACTCTGGCCGCAGTACTGGGCATTTGGACCCGCGTTCCTCACTATCAAGGTCCCTTTATTGTGGTTGGATCCATTGCCTCTGTCTATTTCACAGTGGTGCTGAAGCAAATTATCAATCATGATCGACCTACAGGATCACTACTGACTGATCCTGGGATGCCTTCCTCGCATTCCTTGGTCACCTTCTTTATGGCTGCGGCGTGGGTTTCCAAATCCATCTTGTCATTGCAAGGTTCCATTGCTGTTTTGATGGGAGCATCCATGGTGGCACTCCTGCGAGTCATTTGTGGCTATCATTCCTGGGGTCAAATTGGTGTCGGTGCTGTCCTGGGGTCATCCATGGGAGTGGCATGGGCCAAACTAGGAGTTGCACTCTACAACTCATTTCCAGTCATAACAGTTCGTGCCTCGTGGGCATTCTACATCATGGGGTCGGCGTTTTACATTGTCAAGGATATGCGAGACTGGCTCACAAAGGACAAACATATCTAGTAGCTAGCTAGATGACATAGCAAGAATCCAAAACTAGGATATGTAGAGATACCGTAGAGCTGCAAATAATGTACTCTTTCTTGGCTCCTGTGGTTACAGAATGACTCAGTCCAGAGCAAGATAGATCTGAATTTGCAGATCAGTGGACTGGTCATTCCTACAATACCGTACTATTATAAACAGGACCAATAAATTGAACCCCCAGCACGCGGTGGTCAATCCTCCAACTCTTGCGTGGAAGTCCTGTTGGAAGCACTGCAGTTGCAGTGTACTACGGGACCCTCGCCTCCTCCTCGGTTTCATAAAGAAGGCAATCATAACTACAACCAGCCGTAGCTGCGCCTTCACCGTCCACGAATGCGCTTTTTCCGTCGCAAGTTTCGAATTCTATCGCACCCTTTGCTTTGGCCTCCCACACCACCGTAACCAGCAGAGGATGCCACAGATCCACACTTTGGCTCCAACGGAGCATCCTTTTGTTGTGGAAGTGCTTGTGCGGGCGACAATACAGATGGAGGAAGCGTTGGTTGCGGTGTGGTTGGCATTATTAGCTGAGTGGGAGCTGGCGACGGAGAATCTGTTATTGCTGTTGGTGTTTTGGTTGTGGGTGCTTCAGCAGTAACAGTGGGTTGCGGGGTTGTCGGAGCCACTGTTGTGGGTGTTGGAGTGGTGGGTGCAATCGTTGTTGGCGATGGAGTAGTGGGCAGTCCAGTGGTGGGTGTGGCAGTGGATGGGGCATTCGTAGTTGGCGCATGCGTGGATGGAACGACTGTCGTTGGCGCCACGGTAGTTGTTGGAGCTGGCGGGGCCAAGAGCAAGTTGCGGTTGACGGAATACACTAGATTCTCGCCGGAATTCATGGCCAAGACGACGTACACAGCAATCTCATGAACCAAGATGTCAGCCGCCCTTGCAAAGACATCTATAAGACCTTCTGATCCAGGGAGAGGGATAATGCGAAACGTCTCTCCATTACTGTTTCGACAGTAAATGTATGATGGCTGTGCAATATTGACTTCCAGGATATAGTCTTTGGGCTGTCCCGGTATGCGAAATGGAATGACTTGCCGTGTCTTGGTCAGTCCTGACAGAGCCACAGTTGCGTACTCGTCGCTGGGAGTGGGTAAAATGTCATCAAATTCCATGGGCTGAAAGGTTGCGGGAGCTCCCGGAACGAGCTGTGTCTCGGCAAGCTCACAGGGGATTGGTGAAAATCCAGGCAGAAACTTGTACATCAAGTTGGGTTGTCCCTGTATGTTGTTTTGTCCTCCCGCTCCCACCATCATTTGTGTATTGTCGTCCATGACCGCCACGGAAACGGTTTGACCCATGGCAGCAAAGGGATGAAGAAGCGCATTGTTGCGGTAATCATAGATGAAGCAGGGAGCATCCAGATCCTCCCCGGCCATGCTCCAGGGACTCCGAGCGACTATAACCAAGAACTTGCCCAGGGATGGAGCCTCCAGAATATCCACACCCACATAGGTTCTTGACGTAGATCCAATAATGGGGACATATCGTGTTGCTGTCCACCCTCCTCCTCCTTCTGCAGTTGATTGTGCCTGGGAATAAATATCTATCCCAGCAAATCCAGCAATGACAATGTCCACGGATCCTTCCACGGACACCATGGGCCCATTGGGAGATTTGGGATCTTGAGGAATGGCCCCAAGATCGACCAAAAGGGCAAATCGCGCTGGAAGATTGGGATTAGCAGACCATTGCAACACGGCTGGTTGGAGAGTGCCATCTTGGTTTTCGTCAAACGAGTACAGTTGGGAAGGAAAGACTTGATTGTCACGCGTGTTGCCACCGGAAAACAAGGCATAGTGTCTCACAACAGTCGATGAGGAAACTTGTGTATACGTACTGACCCACGTATAGGCGGCGCCACTGGCCCCTGGATCCAGCAACTTTTCGGTCGCACCTCGAAACGGAGCCAGAGGGTCGTCGTTGGACGCCACTGTCATGTCGACCGTCACAAAGGAATTCAAGCCACTTGATTCATGGCGTCCATTCGAAAAGATATAGGTTTCCAGTTGAGGCTTGAAGACGTGTTGAAAGCGAGCAACTCCAGTAGACGAGTCGCTAAAGGGCGCCGCAAGGGTGGTTCCTTCAATGCCGCTGCTCCCTCCAAGGGACGATTCGTAGACTTCCACAACAGTTGCCAAGCAATGCTGATGATGGAGCAAGATGATGGTAACCTGCAAAATCAGACACAAGCGAAGGATTGCTGTCATGCTCCATCCACACAGCTAAAGAAGAAGCGGGGATAAGAGAATAGAAGTGAACATGAATTGACATGCCCATGAGTTGACATTGTCAGGATGGATCCATTGAAGGAGCTTCTTCCGTCGCTTCCCGTGGAGATCTTCGAGCTGGCTGGCATTTTTGGCGATCTTTCACATTTTGTTTTCTTAAAAGTGAATTCTGGGTCACGCTTTTCTGTTCGTGTGGAAAGGGGACCCAGAGCGCAGGTCGTCGAACAGCTTTGAGCAATCGCGTGTGGTCTTTGTTTTGCAAGACGACCCCCAACTCTTCAAACAAGGCTCACAAACAGGCTCACAAATTAAACCAACAATAAACTCAAACACAGTAAACAGCTCTACAAAATCTATTCAACTAGATGATGAACTTGTCCACTCTTCCCCTTACCTTCCTGAACGCCATTGTCCCCACTTTGGTTGTGGCTGTCTCAGTTCACCGTTGGGTTCTGCGTAAAGAGTTTCCGGTCCATCAAAAAGGCGCCATTCTCATTTCTGGCACATCCTCTGGGATTGGACGGGCCACTTGTGAGTGGTTGGCTGGCCAAGCAATACCCACAAATTACTTTCTATGCTGGCGTGCCCAAAAAAATGCGGGGCTCTCCATTTGACTTGCCAAATGTCAAGCAAGTCATCCTAGTAGATATTACCAACCAACACCATGCCGATGCTGTGATTGAACAAATCAAAGTTGACCAGGTGCCTCTGATTGCTCTTGTCAACAATCCAGGGCTCGATGACATCAGCACATTTGAATTCATGGGTGTTTACACAATTCGGAAAATCATGGAAGTCAACGTAATGGCAACCTACATGCTAACTCAGGCAGCACTTCCAATAATTCAACAAAACAAAGGCAGAATCATTACAGTGAGTTCTGCCCCAGGACTTCTTCCAGGTGGACGTCTTCTGGCAGCATACCAAGGCTCCAAGCATGCCCTTGAAGCCATGTTTGATGCATTGAGGGTAGAAGTAGCACCCCATGATGTTTCGATGAGTCTCATTGAACCGGGGTTCTTCTTGCAAAGCAACAGTGCGGAGCCTAGCACTGAATTGGCCACAACTACTGGAAGCATGGAAGCAACATGCCAAAACATCCAAGATGCCATTTTTGAAAAGTATCCCAAACCTCGCTACCTGACCTCAAGAGTGGGAGCTTTGCCATCATGGCTAGCTGCCAGGGTGGTGAATGTTTTGCCCGCTTAACTTGCCAATATTGCCCTGCATATGGAGACCATCGTGTTCCTGCTGCATATCCGTGTCTCTATTGAAAAGATGCCAGGAATAGCCAAGCAAAGTAGCTGCCAAAGATGATTTATCATTGCCATGTGTCAAACCGGTCACTCTCCCCCCAATCAGTTAGTTATCCATTGATCCTGTCAGTAGTACGGTACTCAACAGACTGCAGATTGTCCCATTCTCCTATACTGTAAAATCATCATTACTTTGCTTCTCGCCCCGGCTGTTTTCCACACGAACCCATGTGCGGTGAACATCGACGTGTTTCTTTTCCAATGGCGGCGGGACCTCTTCTTTTGCACTCGGTATTCTCTCCGGGGCTGCTTCCCCCATTGCCAACGGTTGGATGGATTCTTGTCCACTGGCATCTAGTTTGTCATCATGGTTGTCGACTGCTGCATGGTTTTCTTCAATCACTCTCAATGAATGATCCGTTGTGTGGTCGTCATGGTCATCATCTGCCGCGGAAGAACCACCATTCGCATCATCATCATCATCATCATCATCATCCGAGCCCTCTTCTTCAATGCTGGTGGTCATGGCAAACTCTTTGATGATTTGTTGTCGCGCCTGTTGTCGCGCCACACTGTGTCGGAACGAGGCTTCCAGTTTGAGGTGACGCTGTGACAACTGAACAATCATTTCGTCAAAGTTTTGTGCCGTGGACTTTTCTTCAACTGTCTCGTCGTCGTGATGGTCCTCCGAGAAGAGATCCCTTGGCATGTCGTCGGCTACGTCGCCATTCATCCTTATACCGGAGCACTCGCTCCCGTCCTCTGCGGCTCGAAACGACGACGACATGCATGCCGCGGTGTGTTGCGTATCGAGTAGTTCCGCATTGCCGTGCTCGTCATTCCGTTCCACGGCGTTGTTGCGGGCCACACCCGTAGTGGTGGAAGATTCATCCCTGTCGTTGGGCCGCATAGAGAAAATACTCCAACGCGACGACGTCGTCGTCGACGACAACCCCACAAACAAGCCCAACCGTGACGCGGATCGTTGCACGCTGTTTCGAATCTTGGCCACGGTTCGAGGACGACTCTTGAGAAAAATGAGAAAGTTCCAGAGACCTTGCAACGGTTCGGCAATGGCAGCCGCAATGTCCAGCCCGTAATGACTCCAATGGAACCAATGAGCAATGGACCACAGCGTGGATGGCAACCAGGTAATGACAAAGGAGAGACTGTAGAGAATAGCCTGAATGGCAACACGGTTGGTATCTTGACTACTGCTGTGTGCCAGACGTTTCGTATGGCGTCGTGCTGATGATTGCAATCCGACAATGGCATTGGAGTATCGAATGGATCGTTGGTGTGTGGTGCGTACCTCGCTGTAGAGCAATGCCATGGAGACACTGCAGGCCATGACGCAGAGCCAGAGGGGCACGTAAAAGAGTGCCAATCCCCAAGCCCAGGCATAGTCCCCTCGATCACATTCCACCTCTGGGTTGGCTTGGAAGCTGCTATTCCCGCAACCACCGGGAGATCCAATCACCCAGCATACCTAATATGAAGAAAGCAGAGAACGAATGGATGAGTGATCAACGAAGGTAGCTAGACCTAAGGCTACCCATACGTCAAGGCAACTAGCTATTTGCCAGCTAGCTAAGTAGCCGGATATGGTAGTGTGCCTGTGTATGCACTTACCGCCCCAATATGATTGTACTGCTTGAGTGGTAGCAATAGCGTGGATGTTCCGAGTGTCCATGCTCCGACACAAACATGAATCCACTTTTCGACCCTTGCCAATTGTTGGTCGGTCCATCTCATTTTGATCATGAGTAGATAGAGCAGCGAAAGACTGGAATTGTAGAGTGGCGCTCCAATGGCAAATTGGAGCAAAAAGCCTTGCATAGTGCACGTGGTCACAGTCCCGGCGGCAAAGGCAAAGTCACTTTCGGCCGGCACGGCCCACGAGGACAAGAACCACGCGAAACTGGCGGCAATATCGACACAGCTCATGGCCAACAGAGTCCGTTGGACGGCTGTCGTGCCGCGACCTGCCTTGTGTTCTCCAATCACTTCGGCAATGATAAAGCAACTGCACGGGATACTGATCGACGCCGAAATCTTGGGGCTAATCGCCAACACTTGCTCCTGCAGCAGCGAATACCCACTAGCGCGTTCTTCCGCCGATGACATGATAGATGGATGGATGGATGTAGTGTGTAGTGATGGTGTGTAGTGATGGTGGAGGGTGGATAGAGGAGTGGGTACAAGCTGGATTCCAAGCTGCGGTTCTTGATCAATGGATGCCACCGCTTAGATCAAGACAATAGAAGGGTTCTCTTTTTCTTTGGACGAGTATGATACCGTACGGTACGTACGATGAGCCTTGTTGCCACCGCGACAAGTTGCCATACACGGTGCACTGGTACCCCGCCAAGGCAGTCTTCTTGCTTTTGTCGGGAGTTTGGTGTGAGTGTTAGTCTAGTTTGGAGAGAGAACCTGACCGCTCGAGAGGGAGTGTAATGTAATGCCTTGTCACTACCGGTACCAGTTAGTTCATTACAAGGAAGCAGGAGGAAGGGGCTTGTTTGGTCTGCAGTCCGCAAGCAAGATGAAACCTGAAATTGCGAAAACTGAAGAAGTGGCACTGGATTTCTCAGACCCAGTGACCCAGTCCACCAGAACCAGTACCATACGGTACCCAGTAGCTAACTGGCTCGTGCCGGGCAGTGTGGCAAAGACCTTTTACCATGATTGAAGATCAATGGAGGCCACGTAAGAAGCTGGTGATTAATGTCAAATTCTCTTAAGGTTAATGTCTCTGATGAAACCTACGAGTAACCTACGTGTCTTCATTTTCTTTTAGGCCCAAATTTCCATGATTTCTAAGTATTTAAATCCAGACTTTCCCAGGAAAAGAGATGCATGCAGTTGATAGAATAGCTATGAAATGTTCAATGTTCATCCTTTATTGTTTTATAAGAAAAGAAGCTTGACAATCTCTTTTTTGTCTCCCCCACGTCAAGCCTGTACTGTCTCTATTTATTAAAAATAATTACATAATTACTACTACTAGCTAGTATGGATGGTTGAGTACGTCCTCCTCTTTTGTTCTCCTCCTTTCCTGTTCTGTCGCCTTCCGAATTCCCTCTTTAATTAACTCTAACTCTTAGAAGTATTGCTCTCATTTTTTGATTTTTTGAACAGATCGTCGATCCAAGTTTGCAACAGTACCAGTACGGTAAAAAAATAACTGTAACCTCGTCCTCCTGCTATCCGACATCCATTCGAGACAGCTCGATGTTGACATGTATGTATCCTTCACAAAAGTCTTCCATGCCATGGCAAGAGCAGCATGCCAAAATCACCAAGCCACATTAGCTGCACGCAAGTAGTACCGGTAGAGTAGATCAGAATGAAAGGGTATCAGGTCCAAGCCAACTTGGAGCAACGAATGTCATGGAGCACTCGTCTTTGGTGGTTTGTCGGGGTATTGAGCTTTTGCTTGTATTATGATGGAATCAGGTCCTTCCTTCGAGAGTATTCTTCTGTTATCAGAGGGAGAGAGCTACAACCACAGCAGCAGCAGCGAAGCAATACTGCCAAGGATCACCTCGTCCTTGAAAACGACGAGAGTGATCCCGCGACCAATGACGACTTGAAGCTTGCATTGTACATGACCACTCACTGGAGTGACGAGCACGAGGCTTTTCTACGAAGCTGTTGGCCAGCGGCAGTCCAACGATTCCCACAGCTGCAACAAGCCGACTTGATTGTCTACGATACCAGCTCGACTCGAACCGGTGTGCACGACAAGGAACACTACCACCTACTGCAGAGTTTGGGTTTCCATAATGTTCGCGTCTACCACGCACAAGACTACGAACACGCATGGACCAACTCTACTGCAAACTCTGCTGATGGCAGCACAGTGGACTCGGAACAAATCAAGCAACAGGGTGCCATTACGGCCATGTTGGCTCCGTTCCCTTTTGCCCCGCCAGTAACAACCACAACAACCAACGACACAGCCTCCTGGTTCGATGATTACGATTGGGTCATTCGTCTTAACCCCGATGTTCTGTTTCGAAACGTCGACGATTGGATCCTACCCACGCTGCACAACACGACCGTGGATGCCATTGTGATCAAGTACTATCCCGGAGCATTGCACACCGACTTTTACGCCTTTCGACCGCACGCTATCGACGGGCATGCTCTTTGGTTGAAATATCACAAACAAGCCAAACGAAAGCACTTTCATGCCGAGACGCACATCCATCCAGGATTTGCCAAAGTATTGCAACGTCGACGTGCTGCCTGGTTACCCAATGTCACCCTGACCGATGGATCCGCGCGAGTGGGGGGACCGCATTGTCCCGTCGTGCACGCTCATTCCATTCTATCGCACTGTCCCAACTATTTTGATTACTAACGAATCGATAGATAGCTAGCTAGCCACTGGTACGATGTACAAAGATATAATACTGTCCCTGATGCAATTGCTGCCAGCTGCCGTGCGTATCGTCCACTAAAGAATACCAAGGATAACTGTGTCCAGCATATCCTTGGAGATGCTGTAATGTTTCGCTCAAGACGTGGCAGCTTGGATTCTCCCGTATGAAATCAACGAAGCGTTGCTTGGATTCTTGGAGCTGTGTCACTCGTCTCGTCTCGTCTCGTCTCGTCTCGTCTCGAGTCAATCGATCTAGAGTTGCTATCATTTACGACTTGTTGTTGTCTTGGAGTTGCTGCTGGCAGCAGGATTCCCGGTGCAGGACGAGCTCTTGAATGGCCAAGGCCGACATTCCCGGATGTGCCTCTACGGATTTGTGTTTGGCTTGGATGCGAAGCTCATAGGTGGACCAAAAGTACTTGATATCTTGCGTACGATTCTCGGGAGGCCCCGTGTAGAGTCCGACGGGCAGATGCCCATTGGACGCAGCCAATGTCCCAAAGAGTTCGGGCCAGTGATATCCACGGGGAAAGAGTTCCAAAAATCCGCCACATTGGGGCATGAAAATACTGTTGGTGAGTTGTGCCCCATGGGGACTAATGAGGATGTCCACATTGGCCATGAATGCCGCTTGTTCCAAAAAGGATTTTCCATCAAAGGAATCGAGGTATTGGATTTCCGTGTGATTGATTTTGGAGGCTGCAATTTCTTGGATGATGTCGTGTGAATTGGAAACGTGCCGGTGTCCGACGCGATTGAGAAAGCCAATAGTGGGATATTTGTTGTTTCGACAACCACTGCTTTCCAGCTTGTACTGTTTAATGATTCCACTTCGCAAGACTTCAGCATCCTGCGTGGATCTCATTTGATAGTAGACGGTGGTGGATTGGTTCCGTCCCGTTGTCAAGGCGTGTACGGCAGCCGCTTTGAAGTTCTTTTTGGGTTCTCTGACGCGCAGTCCAAAGGTCTCAACGAGGGCTTTCATGAATCCTTCGGTGAATTGCGATTTGAGACGGAATTGCTTGTCCAATAGCAAGGCCGGCTTTTTGGTTGGATTGGCCTGCCACCAGGAAAAACACCTCAAAAGTTGCTGCATGGTATGCGGCAAATGAAAGGCACTGGCCAGATCCTGTTGGAATTCGCAAAAGGCCTCATTTTTGGGGGACGTGGGAAAGACGAGTTGGTTATGGATGTCAGCATCGTAGTAGGGCATTCCGGGGCCGTCCAGAAATTCCTCGAGTGGAAAATTGGCGGGAAAATGTCCCACTTCGTACATGTCCACTCTTTCTCGCTCTGCCATTTGTTGCGCTTTGTCGTGTAGCAAACGCCTCTTGGCGGCTACTAGTACCGGTATTGGAGAGTCCTCAGGAATGATGGCTTTGATTGCTTGTGGTGGTGATTGAGGAAAATCAGTCACCTGCTGCAAGCTCTCCATGTCTACGTCCGATTCTCGAAGCTGCAAGTCATACGACACAATCACAGAGCCACAGGTGACAAGCAGGAACAGTGCTGCCAGTCTCGAGGGGGAAAACGCCATGGTCAGATTGCTAAAGGTAGCATTCAAGGAGTGCATGGTGTTTTGTTGGGGTCTGATCGAAACGGGAAAGTTACTATGGATTAGAGAGAGCTAAGATGAGGATGGGGACAGAGCTGGAGGGGAGGGCACAATTCAAGAACACAAGGCAAGCAATCCAGTGTGCAAGCAGGGCAACATGGAAACCAAGGAAAGGGCCCTGGTGGGGTCTGATACGTTGGCTCGAGCGGAACAAAACGGAGGGGGGACCGACTATTGATGAAGAGGATCCCTTCGATCGAGCGGAACAAAAGCTTTGGGGTGGTACAGTCGTACAGCTGTACGCACGCCAGCCGGAATTCCGACGGACGACAAAAACAAGAAGGCAGGACAAACTTCAGAGAAACGTGATCATCACCTGCCACCCGTCTCATTCAGTGCTCTATGTTTCGAACGAAACCTTATCACAAGAAGCGTCGGTCCCTCCTCATCAAACAGAAAAGGAAATTGTCTTTGAAATAAAAGACGGAGTCGAGTCACCGCTTCCACAGAGCTCCAAATTGAAATTCGGTCCGAGAGGGGAACACTACCGGTACAGGCTTCTGTTTCCGGCTTTGGGGGCACATTCTGCGTTGGAGCCAACAATTGAATACAAATGGACTGACTTTGCAGCAAACACTTACTTTTCCACTGCCCGATTCGATTCCAGTGTACGATGTACCCATTCGCGTCATTCATCGATCCGGCGAGGACGCCACCTTATCCATCGAGTGGGATGACACTAGCTAGCACGCTGGGTACAGTACCCATGCCCACACGGTAGAGTCGCATCCCTCGCGGTTGGATTGGTCCATTCCAATATCTCCTCCGAATGCTAGTACAGTAAAATTGAAAACAGAAAACACCCCAAAGAAGAATCGACATTTTAACACTCCGAGCCTTATCGGTCGGGCATGACTCTCGCCACGCGAACGCGACACATTCGAACCGTGCCGACGACTTTGTTGGAGAGTGTTTATTGAAGAATTGGTACCGTACGCTGTGCCCCACTCGATCTTTGCGAGGCATCATGTGGAATATGATCAGCTTGTTTTGTTGAGCGACCATGATTGGGATCGTTTGGACGCGCCCATTGGTTGGATCCAAGCTACGAATCTTGAAGGGGATCCTGTCGGGTCAAAACCAAGACTTGATGGCGCTGTATTCGGCCCTGGCATTCCTGTGCCATCCAAAGAGTCTATCAAGTATGACCATGGGCCCACCGGATCACCAGCGAGGCCTCTACGATGTCTTTATCTCTCATCGTCACGAAGGAGGAGAAGATTTGGCACAAGCCATCAATCAAGTTGCAACTACAGGTACGTTCTGCAATAGTAGGTGTGGACGTAGTTTGTTTACACCGAAAGGCGCTCCTGATCCACTTTCGTGGGCATGCAGGTCATGTTCCCCGAAAAGAATCTACGAATCTTTCTGGACGTCGACAATCTGCAAGATCTTGCTCTATTGCGGCTGGATTCCCAGTACTTTCTCCTGTTGCTCGCTCACGCCAGGTGTCTTGGAACGCCCATATTGCCAGAGCGAAATCAAAGTAGCCCTGGGCGCCCAGAAGACGATTATCCTGGTGCACGATGTCAAGAATTGTGTCATTCCAAAGGCAAGCACGCTGCCCGTGGAAATACGGCCCGTGCTGGAACGAGTGACCATTCCGTACTTTCGAGAACATGCCTTTAGAGAGACGGCCATGCGAGAAATTGCCAAGGCAATGAAAATAATGATCCCTGCATGAGTGAGTGAGAGTTGCGTTGATGGCTTGGACAGGACTGCAGGCCGATCGACACATACTAGCTAGCACACGGTACCTCTCGTCGTCACCCACACACGACTGGGACTGGAAGACAGCTTGGGATTTCAGGTGGGTGCGGTAAACGTTTTTATAAACTATGAGCATGTTTATTAGTCTAGTAACGGTATTGTTTACTTCAACCCTATCTTTACCTCAACTTTCCGTCTAAAGTTGTCTTCCCATGCCGTGCATCGTGCATCGCATGCCAGTACCGGTACCGGTAGGACGAATAATAGCCACAGCAACAGCATTGCGAACCCTCTTTCTAAAGAGCAACTTCGATCTGAGAGATGGCACATCATGCAGTTTTATTTGCGTATTTGCGTATTTGCGTATTGAGCGATAGGACTGTCTGTTGCGGTGGCTTGCTGCAAAAGATGGAGGCATTGCTAGAAAAGCAGCAACAGCTGCAGCACACCTATATCCAAAGGCAGTCAAGAGTATTAGAAGAGGAGTCCAAATCATATGAGGACACTCTTGCCAGTGACAACAGTCATAAGGTCCACTGCGCGACACACCAACAGACTGCTGAAACATCTTTCTTCGAGTCTTTGAACCAAAACTTTGAGCCGCCGTCGTTACCGCTAGCGCTGCAAAGGTTTCATGGAGGGAGAAGAAACATAGCACCCGGTGCGTATGCCGCAGAAGGACCACTAGCTGACACGTACGTCACACCAGGGATAAGCCCACGGCACCCAGCAACACAATCTCCCAGTTCTGATGATGGAAGTGAGCAAGGAGTGGAATTGACATCAGAAGATAGCAATCTTATTCAGGCTGAGCCAGTGGAGGAATTGGAAAACGAGCGGATTCCTACGGCTCAGCCAATATTTAAAAACGCCAAATGGTGGTGGAAGAGAAAGCTGTTCTGGTCACTCTCGGCAGAAGCACTGGTGGCAATACTTATTGTTCTGGCGATAACTATTGGGGTTGCTGTCAAAAGCAATAGACACAACCAGATAGGTCATAAACAACAGCAAGGGGCCATACAAATACCAGAAAGCACCGGAGCCACAAGCCCACCAAGAAGTTTTTTGGACAGCCTCAATCTTCCTGACTACACATTGGAGGCACTTGATGATCCAAATTCTCCACAATCAAAGGCTTATGAATGGCTGGTGGGAGACAATACAAGTCTTCCGAACTGGAGACTAGTTCAGCGATTTGCCCTGGCTACATTCTTCTATTCAACCAGAGGAGACTATTGGGTCAATAATCATGGTTGGCTGGACTGGCAAACACATGAGTGTGACTGGGAGCAGAATTTTGTTCTTCTTGAAGCTTCTGCAAGACGTCGCTGTGACATTTCAGGACAAATTATCTCTCTGTCCATGGTTGCCAGCAACTTGGCAGGAACGCTTCCACAAGATATTTCACTTCTCAGCCCCAGTCTCCAACTTCTGGATCTCTCATCTAACATGGCACTTACTGGGCAGATACCATCTCAGATTGGATTGTTGACAAGGCTGACAACACTGTACACACCTGTCACAAGCCTTTCAGGTACTTTGCCAACTGAGCTAGGCCTGTTGCAAAGCTTAATCGATGCAACACTAGGTTCCAACAAAATCTCAGGGAGTGCTCCATCTGAATTGTCGCTTCTATCGAAGCTAACAAGTATCCACTTTGCCAGTATGGGACTAACAGGTAAGGCAAAATCAACGATGACAGCCTCACTTTGCGGTTCGAAACCATTGACTCCACGAGACATGAACTCAAGCTCCTGCCCTTTTGATCACTATACAGGCTCCCTCCCCCCAGAACTGTTTCAGTTGACAAACCTAGCTTATTTTGGGATGGATTATTGTCATGGGATAGATTCCAAATCAGTGTTCCTAGCTGTCACAAGCCAGATGAATTGGCTAAGAAGCCTTATCATGATTGGAAGTGAAGGAGCAGGTATTTCACTCTCCAGTAGGTCAAAACTGAAGTGCTTGCTTTGATGGTGCAATGGCCGTTGATTTTCACCATCATGTCTTGTTTTCATGCCATTTATTTCCTGGCAGGTGAAATTGGTCAGCTTACTGAGTTGGAAAATTTTATAATGGAGGGCTGGAATATGAGCAATTCCAGCATTCCCAGTGAAATTGGAAAACTGTCAAAGCTGGTAAGTCAAACCCATTTCATCATTGTCCACATGGAAGATGTTTGGTAACTAAACTTGTTGACAAATGCCACAGACAAGCCTGACAATTGAACAGACTTCCCTGGCAGGGTCTCTCCCATCAGAGTTATCATTACTCTCGGGTAAGTTCAAATGATTTACTGCTGTGGATTGCTCTAATTTTTATTTCTCTTCTATGGCTCAGTCTAACCATGGCTTGGGTGCAACATAGACCTGCAGTGGTTGGATCTATCTTCCAACCGATTGACAGGAATCATGACCCTCGAATTGTTTCACAACCTTGGAGGTTTGAAAAAGTTGGTTATGAGTGGCAATCTGTTCTCTGGTTCTATAGTGACAGAAATTGGCTTTCTCTCTGACCTCAAAGATCTACGGCTCCAAGATACCCGGCTTTCTGGGACACTTCCCACAGAATTACTGACCTTGTCCAAGTTGACAAAACTGACCGTTGCTAACAGTTCCCTCTCTGGCAGTATTCCTGATGGTCTCTGTCATATCTTGTACCATTATGAGTTGGCATGTCATAGCTCCAGTGTTTGTTATCCAAAGAAGACAAACACCTCTGTCTGCCAGGGAACTGCCTTGTGTGGATGCAGCTGTAGACCTTGCTAGGATACTTTGTTGTGTGAGGATGGCTACTTTGGTCCCCAATTTATCTCCCTGATCCCACGGAACCTAATAGTCTAGTCCTGCATTTCGACTTTGCTTTACCTAAGCCTGGCCCTCACAGGCTTCCGTGGAGATAACATCCCAATTCTTAAACCGCCTCCTAACTTGAACCCCCCTGTTCACAATTGAGCCCTAAATTGGTGGGGAAGATCCAATGTTCCTCTATTCGGCCGCGGAAGCTTCTCTCATCATTTGCCATCCGATCCCGAAAGAAATTTCCCACCATGGGCCCTTTACATGTACTAGTATGTACTCTGCCTAGCTAGCTCAGCCCCCCTCACTCCTTTTGTTGTAGACGAGAAACAAATATTAAAATTTTGCCACGACTATTTGGAAAGAATTGAGCCCTAACCTTAACATTCCTTGTCAGAAAATTGGCAGGAAAGATCCAAAGGTTCAGGCTTCCTTCGTTGCGAAAGCATGAATTATTACGTCTCCAGGAGACGACGCACCTTTTGGTTACCCCCTTAAATGCACTCTGGAATCGATTTGCCAGCCTTTACTGTGTAAATTAGAGTAGCAGCACTTCAGTTGCAGAATCAACGGTCATGTGTAACCGTAAGTACCAAACCTGTACTTAACATTGTTTAACGTCTGTTTAGATCGATTCGTGGATAAAAAGAACCGATGAAGTTACTAAGGTTAAGGCTAAACTGAATTAGGATTCCATCCAATCATCCATCGAGTCTTTTTTTGAAGGCACAGCACTGACTTCTCTCCCTCATTGAATTGCTATGGCAAACAGGAGAGAAATCCGAGCTTGGCCGACAAGAGCGGTGTTGAATCGATCGATCGATCGAACGATCGAACGACTGGTACGGAGGTAAGCATACCTATAATCAAGAGTGTTATTGAAGGTGCAGATTCGAAAGCCATCCCTCATTGAATCATATGGACAATGGGATGGCAGTCAGTTCTCGGCCCATGACGGCCAAGTTGGTGCAATTTGAAAAACAAGGGTAAGTCTCCGGTTTTCTTCAGTTGAGCACAGACAACAAAACTCATATCTATTTGTTGTTTTCTCTGCTGCACTGCCGGCGGCCGATGACATCTAAGAAGCGCATTTTTAGGTAGCGCGAAAACGGGAGCACCCCTACCATACCATTCCACGTGTTTGGCATATAAAATCGTGACGTCGCTGGTTAAAGCTTTGGTAGTAATTCAGCAGTTTCGAAGGTGAGGTCATCAACCGGATCCGACGAGCTCTGATTTGTAAGGTAGCATGCATGATAACATACAGCCACGACCTTGCAACCCAGTCGTGCCCTTTCGGTTACTTAGTATGCGTATGTATTTGGGAGGCAAACTACATACAGAATGCACCAGGACGAGTTTACGGATTGCTAAGTACAATCTCATTTTATAAGATCGAGCCACTCCAGAGCCCAGAAACTGTCAATTTGGAACCTCAGAAGCCACATTTTTGACGGTGTCTAGTACATTCTATATGCTAAAAAGTAACGTCTGTAAGCTACCAGTTGATTTGTACCATATCTACAAATGGTTTGGATCGTTGTGAGTACTGTGATGATTGGTTTAAGAACCAAGAGCTCTATCAAGTCACCTACAAGCCTATCAACCTTGTATTGAAGCACGGAACAGAGTGCTGGGCATGACACTGAACTAACAAGAAGGAGTAGATTCCAGGGCAAGGGCTGCAGATCTAGGTGACTACTGACACTGGGAGGCCGCGCAAGGGCACCAACACCAACCAACCAGGAAGAGGGAGAGGAAGAATCCGTCGGACATTCACAAGGATGCAAGGGAAGATGATTTCCAATGGAATGGGGACCCCTTAATGGTTGATCGGTACTGTTGCAATACACGGCTCTAGCCTTATTCGCGACTTCGATCCTAGATAGGGTTTGAGTTCGACTCATGACTGAGTCTCTCAGTGAAATAGTCATTTGAGAAGAAGGTTTACTCCAATGACCGCCTAGTCATACTAGTTCGATTGTGAAATATCGCTCTAGATAATTAGCCAGCGATGGAGTACTTCACGCTACTTGATCGCCGGCTAGACAAACCTTCCACGTTTCCGTTTTAGGATCGTTGGAGAACGATAGGATTATCTACCACAACCTACTCTATCACACTTTATAGTCTCCCGTTGGAGCCAGATCTACGATCTCTTGATGATGATCTCTCTGGTTGATTAGTTTTCATAGTTTTCTAATCTCTCTCATAACTTTATCATCTCAAACTCAAAAACTCGAAAGATCTTACATTAGCTTTTAGCTCGTATGTGCATTTGTTAACAAAAAATACTTTCAGCTACCCTCAACTATTCCTTCACAATGAAGATGGATCAAGGAAAACATGCGTTCGCAACTCGAGAAACTAGTTGCGTGACAAACCATTTTTCCTCTCGTTCGACAATGACAAAGAAAACGAGATCGACGATACTCGTACAACACTTGCCAACTTCGCAACCAATGTTGCCAAAGCGCAAATCAGAAGACTCTGACAATGAGGACAACTCCTCTATCAATTTCAATCATTCGATGAGAGAAATCTCTATCTGAGATTAGGCCAGGATGATGATTCAACGGAACCCTGTTCCGATTTTCTTCATTACCAAGTTGATGAAGATATCTACTAACTAGTAAAAAATTGTTTGCAACTGATGAATCTTACGGCAAATTAGATGATTGCCTAGAAGCTGCTCAACTAAACACTGAATGATCTATTTCTAGCATTGTTAACTTCGTCCGTGGCTAACCACCTCGTTAAACGTCGCAGACAAGAGACCTCAAAACCCATCGTCTATGTTAGATTTAACAAGCGAGGGGAAAAAAAGGGAACCAAAACCCTGTTACACTCGTTGCTTACTGATACAGGAGCATCTGGAACCTTGATTGCTCCAACTCATGTTAAGAAATTACGCATGAAAGATCTTGGGGCGTCCAAACGATACGGGACTTACCTCAGGAAAGAATTAGACCACCACGAAGTGGTAAGGGCAACTATTGATTCCTGAGTTCCAACGAAAGATAGAATTATCGAGTGGGACTAACAGTCACCAAGAGCTTGGGGCGTATGAACATGATACATAGGTCGAGAATATTCTCTCTGACTTAGGTTTCAAGTTCAATTTCACTTACCATGTCAGTGAATGTGACGAGCATCTATTCCTATGAAGATAGCGATACCAATGAAAAAAAGAACTTCTTCATTCCTGACCTACACGCTGTTGATGACAGTTGCAGATGCGTCTCAAGATAGATTCTTTGATGCGGAATACGAACAAGCTGATTCTAAGCAGGTTTGCCAAAGTAAAATCAGTTAAACACGGAAAGGAGGAACAGCTTCATCCTTTATAACGAAGTACTCTGACCTATTCGATGGTACTTGCGAAAGTGGCAGATGGACGACTTACGAAGTAGAACTTCGTCCCGATGCTAAACCCTATCATTGCAAGGTGCTTACCCTATTCACGGGTCCATTACCACACTCTTAAGATGGAGGTTGAAGGTCTCTTGCGAAGCAGGACTACTCAAGAAGGTAACCTTTCCGAGTGGGCGCACCAACTTTCATCTTTCCCAAGAAGAGACGGATCTGTACGATTCATCTTTGATTTCTTGGGTAACTGAACAAAAGGATTCTAAAGCGAAGCCTTATCTCTCTCTTTT